ATCCTAAGAGAAGATATTCGCAACAATTCAAATCAAAGATTAATATTATATTAATTCTATATCTTATCCTACTTACAGAAATAAATATATCTAAATTCTTATAATTATATCCTATTAATTTTATATTATATCAAGAAAGAGAAAATATTCCCAAAAAATATTCCTATTCTATATTCGAAATTATATATTACCTATATGACCGATATTTCGTACGTAGAAATACAGATAACAAATATTTCAAATAATAAACAGAAAGAGAACCGCTAGTTTCCCTACGATTTTAGTGCGCACCGACTATCACTACTATCATAATAGAAATGACAATAAATAATGTAATCGCAACCAAATCGCGAACCAAATAAGAATCCCTCTTTTAAGCAAGAACCTCTTCTCAGAAAGAATATACGTAGAATATTTGCAATTCCTGATAACTCCAACATATGCATAAAGAATGAGATAAATTGCGACATATTTCCCCAGTATCGCAGTTTAAGCATCCCTAGTATTATGTTTCATTACTTTTCGTTTGCAAAATGTTCATAATTTGTTGAAAGTAACTAGGCATGTTCCATGAGGATTAGAAACATGGAAGAGTACTGGTACGAACATTTATCTTCATCGTACAGGAAGCATCTGCCTGTTTGCGACATGAATTCCTGCGCCTTTTTGAATGACCGCTGGCCGCGTTCGTGAGACGGTTGCAGGCCGGAATCTGATGCTTCTTTACACAAGACAAGAGAAGCACTAATCCCATAGAAGGTACCAAGCCAGTCGCTCACTGTACATCGGTTGGCAGACCAGTGGCTGGCAAAAGTACCGCTTGGGCAAACCCAAAATTGGAACAGACTGTCCAATTTAATTTGATCAGTGATCTGCAATGCATCTACGGCTCACTGCAAGCAACACGACGACCGGGATGTCGCAGTGACCTGACAAAAATCTTACCTGCAAACCACTGGAAGTCGCCATTAAAGTTCCACAGTGCAACAAGGGTACCAGCTCGAATCCCAAAGCTGCTACACAGCTTGCCGCAGCACAAGGGACTCCCATCAAACAAAACGGCGGAGGCAGCCGCACTAAGGGATTTTGTGACTTTTCCAACCGGCTGAAGCTTGGGAAAGAATCCATGGTCTGTTCCTGCACAAAATAAGGCCCGAGCAGGGACCTCAGGTTGTCGCGGAAGACTCCCGTCCACGGAGAAGCGCCGGAGAGTCAACTCCGTGTCCTTCGACAGCGGACGCACTTGCTGTAACCTACGTGGCAAAAAGAGTGCTCTATGGTCCCAGTCGGGCTTGAACTATGCATGCCATGCATGCAAGCTACTTTCGTCCACCGACATGGTATCAAATCTCTCGCTTATCCACACTTTAGCTGTACCAGTCGTGATGCTCGCCTGGCCTATGCGGAAATAGTCACGACTGTTTCCGTTGCGTTGCACACCACACACATGCTTTGCATCGGCGGCTCACCATAAAGACTGTCATTGGTCTTGTGATCAGATTATGGTTGGCGGTACCCACTCGAAGTTTGTGTGGCTGAAGCCAAAATCGTGTGGTGTCAATTCATCTATCGGACAGGGTTCCGCCACATGCAGATGTGGGAACTCTGCTTGGCTTGACTTCATGCTTATTCAATTTGGAACCTTGCTCGCCCTGTGCAATCGCCCAGGCCAGAGGCTCAGCTCCAGTCGCACACGCAGACTCGCGAAGTTGCAAACACGAAACGAGACACGCAACACAAGGCTGATCAGGAGGCCAAAGTGGGCAATCGGCTCCGAGGGGGTTGTTTGGTACTTGGAAACACGGAAGGTCCTCCCGGACTTTCTGCACGACAGTCGGGTGCTCCTCGGCTTGCTACGCACCCCGCATTTCTCTATTCATTCTATTCGCTATCTTCTATAGCTTTCTATAGCAGCTAGCAGCTAGCAGGAACCCAGCAATGACTTGCTCAGCATCGTCCGACATGTGCCAAGGTTGCCTTGAGATATCTCTGTAGCTGCGCCAGCGCCTGTGTGGTTGCGGCGCTTGCCTCCACGAACCGACCAATGAGAAAATGGAGGGGACAAGACCCATGCCCGATCGTGCTAACCGACCGCCTCTGCGTGCATCTGATTGGCAGACATGAGGTCATGCAAGTCCTTCGGCTGAACTTCCTGGCAGTGGCGAGCAGACTCGGGAGTCTAAGACGGTGCGGTCTTCCGCTTGAGCTTCGGGCAGCTTCTCTCCACATCTTCGCCAAGCACACGAGGTGTATCACATGATCCTCTCAGCGTTCAACTGCCAGCTCCGACGGCAGCTATGAACTTCGCAACGCAGGAAGGGTCCTTCAACAGCACTGCCACGACGAGCATGGCTGAGCAGACATCGGAATGAGTGCCTCAGCTTTCGCAGCTGCAGGTGCAAAACGACCTGGACGGATCCCCAGGCAGACGTGGAGCTCAGCCCAAGGCCTGAAAGCAGAAGTCCGAGCCCAAAGAGCCAAATGGTCCAGCCGAGAATCCTCTCAAGCCCACGAAACGAGCTAACCAGAACAGATCATCATTCATCTCCAAAGCCCTTCCCAACTGATCCACCACGGTCCTCTGCGAAACTGGAACTGGGGGCAAAAGGTCGACTCGGCGGCCGTCGCTCCCAATAAGAAACTCCACTTCACCTCGCGCTCGCAGCTTCCAAAAATGCGGACAGATCTGGACAGACTGCGATTACATAGTAGTATAGTATAGTATAGCATAGTGCAATATAGTATTATAGTATACGCCCTCTAAACGACCGTGATCAATCAAATGGAGAGGAGGTGCGCATACCTGAGGCTGAGTTGAAAACAGGTCTGTGCAGTATCAGCCGAGCTTTGCCAGGTACCGGGGAATGCAAACGGGCCTTGCGGCTCCGGCGCCGATGCAAAGTATCGTATCGCCAGGCTGGCGCCTCTGACACTGCCAGGGCTAAGCCAAAGGGAATCTGGACCAAATGTAGTAACGCAGTAACAACGCAGGAAGGGACCACTGAGGAGAACATGGAATCTTGCCTCTCAGAGTCTGATACTCTAAAGACACAGGTGGCAGAGCAAGAAACTCTGCGGCCCGGGAGCCTAGGTGCACCAATACCAAGCAGATCAAGATCACCAGCCCGAATACGAGCCAACCTGATCTTCAGCGACGGAAGGGGCCGTGAAATCTTGTGCTCGTGCTCGGGCTGCAGCCGACCGGCAGCTCAAAGAAAGGATCTCGCATGCCTCGGCGGGCGGAGGGCGGACTAAACGCCCTCAAACGCAGACTCGCAGAACCGGTATTTCAGGCACAAGCTGAGCCACATGTGCCAATCGGGGGCCTGGGGTCCACTTTGCTAGACGATCTTCAATCTAGACGACACAGAAATAAGGGATTGAGGACTGGGCAGGGAGCCATCGCCAGCCCCATGCAAGGATTACCTCTGGCGAAAAAAACAGACATTGCTAGAGCAAGCTTCCAAACAGAGAAAGATCTGTGGGTCCGACGTTTCGGGCGGCCGGAATGAACGCAAACACTGCAGCCGCTAGGGTCGTCAACTCGGAGGCCAAGGCGAAACACGGCTGAACCATGTTGTGTAAACTGACCAGGCAGATCCCATTCCTTTGCTACCTGTGCTGCTAATGCAGCCGCTTGAGAACCAAGACTGGTCCGAGTGAGAGTGATGCTACGAGTATGGGCAGGTCGCTTCCGGACAGATGCCGGGGCTCAAGCCCAACGGCCGAAAGGTATCGTTCCGTGAAGAGTGCCACGCGCACTTTTGACAATCCAGAAGGACACCTTGCACGGCTTCGTGTACCATGAAAGGTTGATGTACCAGACTCGCTGCATTACCGTCGGACTGTGACGGTAAGGCGAGTTCCATGGTGCCAATCAACACCAAAGATCCAAGTCCTGCTGCAGGCAACTGTTGTGTCGTGTTATCACGCCAAGTCCGACTCCCTGTCTCTTCGTGTCCTCCCAGTCCGGCATGGAAAACAGAACTCTCAGACAATGGCCTCCATGCAACCACCTGCTGGAGCCATAGACTCACTTGTTGCTCCAAGCCAGTTCAGCTTCCGCTGCTGAGCAGTGTGCAAGGGTGAGGCCGGCCATGAGGAAAACGAAGACCGACAAGTCCAAATGCCTTGCAAGCGAGGGCAAGCTTGCGCAAGCTTGGTTTGTGGCTAAACGCCCCACAGCATTTCGAATTTATTGGAAATTTGCAGGCAAAGACGCCAATGCCATGCGACGCGAAGTCGCTCAACGTCTGCTGGCACCTGCTAAGGGTTTCAGCTGGAGGCTTTTACTAGGAGTATTTGGCACATCTGGAGAGAGACTGACTCAGAAAAGAAACTTCAAAAGCAAGAGCAAGAGGCATGATCACACGACATGATCTCCCGTGGTGTGGCGAGCCTTGCGAATGTAAACACAGCCACCCGTTGGAGGCAAGAAGACCGCCAACTGTTCACCCTCGATCAGAGCAGGAGGGTGCGTTCTAGATTCTAGGTTTGGGAGTTTCAGAAATAGGGGACCCTAATATAGTACCCCCAATAGTAGGATCCTTATTAGAAGGACCCCAAAATCAGGTACCCCTATTTTCGGAAACTCCCATTAGCCAGAGCCAGTCGGCATCGGCAAGGACCCGGCCCGACGGTGCAGTCTTGCCGGACACCTTGAGCTGCAATCCTGCAATCGGCCGGGGACTTAGTAACTGTTCATTTTAGGGACTTATAAGTACCATAACCCCAATTAGGGTCCCTTTTAGGGTACTTATAAGTCTAAGAAGAGAACTTGGAGGCCCGGAACACCGCTACTTCGCTGGAGCCGTCCTTGCAAACCCCCGGCAGCAATGGCCGAATCCTGAAGTCAGCTCTCGACTCTGGAGTCAGCTCGCGGAGCTTTTGACGGTGCCGCTATCTCCTTGCAGCCAAGAGGCCAAGGTCCGACAATGCGACAGAGGAGCCCAGGAGACTGCGTCTGCACCTAGTCGAAGAAGGCTGTGTGAACATAGTGAAGCCCGAAGCCCCCATTGCCCAGGTTGGCACGTCGAGCTGAAGTCTCGATGTCTGCCCCTGGGGGAGCGAAAGCACAGAGAAAGACTTTGCAAGACTGGATGAGCACCGGACGGGGAAAAGCCAAGCGAAGAAATTACTTCCAGACCCGCTTGATTCCTCGATCACCTTCAGCTGTATCCCCAGGTACACCTGCAGGGATTGCATTGCAGCATATCACAAGACAAGATGGAAAGGGCACATGCGACAGGTGTGATGCTGATCACCCAGCGCAAACTCCGGGGGGGAGGGGTTGGAACGCTGACGAGCCCTTCTTCAGAAAAAACGAAAGCCTTGCACCTGAATTGATATATGACAGGGGCGCCCTCGTAGGCCTGCATCACTGGCCAGGCCTGGAAGGAAGCAAAACTGAGCCAAGGACGAACCCTAAACCCTAAACCCCTCAGCTCTGAAGTAGACGCTTTCGATTCCAACTTTTCGCATTTTTGGGGCTCCGTACGTAGAAGGGAGGCTGCTCGAAGGCTCGCAGGCAGAGCCGCTCTGGTCGATCGGATGTCACCTACCAGGCTGCCAGGGCTGGGCTTAGGCTTAGCCTTAGGCTGCTTAGGCTGCTTAGGCTTGAAGGATTGGTTTACCGTTTTCGCTATATGTCTTCGACTGGGCGGGTTTTGCACTGAGGCAGTTGCAGTGAGCAGCTCGCGCTCTCCATCGCGGCCGTGGAACTCCACGAGCTGCTCCTGCAAGTACTTCAGAGAGGATCGTGTCAACTCAGCTTCCTTTGACCCTCCCCCAGCTTGATCAGATCTTCGACACGGCAACTTGAACTTAGCTTCTGCGTCAGAGCCAATCAGAGGGTGTTGGCGTCAGGCCGGTCTTCTGAGGCTCCCGACAGCACCTCCTCCAGAGAGTAAAGCCCTGGCCGGAAGGGGCAAAAGCAGGGCAAAAACGGCGCAAAGATCCGAAAGCGTGCAGGGGATCGCAGCAGCCAAGCAGCTCGCTTCATGGGGCCCGTCTTGCACCGGCCCACTGTGGCCCACAAACGTTTGCGGCTACAACACTTCGTTTGTTACACTTGAGAAGCATAACGTTATCTAGCATACATGCGGTAGCCAAGCTTGGAGATGCGTAGTGAGAGCATCACATGCTGGCTTCCTAGCCCCCACGATCAAACCGCTCCTGGAACGCATGCTAACTTCTGACCACGTCTCTCCGAAGCCTTCGATCCGAAATGCCCCTTTCAAGAAGGCGAGTCGCGGAGCCAAGATGAGCAAACTAGTGCTACTGTGACGAGGTGTTGAAAGTTTAAAGGCCTCAAAGCCTCCTCACCCCACCCGACATCGAATACATCTGCCGGCTGCCCTGCAGGTTGCATGAACTGGAGGAGCAATCTCGGGTTGGCAACGCCACTACCGTTGCCACCCTTTGAACTCAGGCAACTCGGACTTTGTGCAGGCGATGTGGATTCATCCACAGATTGTAACGTGGAAGTTGGGAATTGGAGCAGGCATAACAGTCATCGATTGCTGCGATTCGATCACTGCGATACTCGTGGCTTCAGGCCTCACCCCAAACCCTCTCAGTCATTTCCGAAAAACGCGGGTCACGTTCGACAGCCCCAAAAACTGACTCTTTACATCTCCTCGGAGCTTGTGTGGCCCGCTGTGTGGGACCACGCTTGTGGCGCAAAGCGGCCGCAACATCTGGAAAAAGCTGAACAACAGCCCAAATAAACACTCTGACGACCAGCGAGAAAAGAAGCAACTAACACTAACGTTGCGAAGAACAGGAAAATCGTTCCAAGCACCAGGGGCCACATGGACTGCCCTGCGCCAGCGGCTTGTGTATGAACGTGGGCTGTTCCGCACGGGGCTCGAGCAGATTTCTGCATAGCCCGCTCTCCATCTCCTGCACAATTTTCGTGCGGAGGTCCAACATGTTGTTGGCCAAATTATTCGTGATGGCGACGTTGAGCGCGTCGTGGTCACTCGTTGCGTTGAGGGCCTCAAGGCGGGGAGCCGCCCCGCCTTGAGGTCCTGAACGCGACGAGCGACCACGATGCTCTCAACGTGGCAATCACCAACATCTTGGCCAACAACATGTTGGACCTCCGCACGGAAATTGTGCAGGATGCAGAAATCTGCTCGAACAGGGCATCCACCGAGAGATCTTCCACTGAAAATCTCACGAGTCCGGCCTCGATGGACACGTGGGTCGCCACGCCGACTTGGGCGTCCTAGGAGCCGGCCCGATTGGACCCACCCCTTCTGCATTGGAAGCTGCACCTCCATCAAACAGATGGTTCGTGAGTGTGCCAAGGCTCCAGCACGGCATCACTTCAACAGATGTAAATCGACCATGGAGCACCTAATTCATCTCAATCCCAGCCATGCTTGAACTCGACCTCCACGGAGAGGTCTTCCACAGAAAATCCGACGAGTCCGCCCACGGTGGACGCGTGCTTTCCGACGCCGACCTGGGCGTCCTTCATGAGGATGTAGAGCCGGCCCGAGTGGACCCTACCTAATGCTGACGGAGCAAATCATCATGAACCCACAAACAGAACTCGACATATTTTGCTCCGTCAGCTTTACGTCGGACAGGAGCTCTTGCACCAGACCAGATTAAGCACCACCAACGGCGCCCCTCCATGATCACCTTCCATTTCGAAGGTCTTGAAAATCGCGCTCGCAGCCTTCGCCACGTGTGCCTTCAGGAGGGTCCCGGAGTCCTCGCTGAGGCTGCGCAGGTTTTGCACGTGGAATAAATAGCAGTAGCCACGCCAAGGCAGCCGTTCTTCGCTTTCAGTCTCCGGGAGGTGGATCCAGGCTTGGCGGAGGCATAGCAGTCATCCGGTCACGTTCGACTGCCCCAAGAACTGATTCTCTACATCCGGGTGAGACTCCTCGGGGCTGGTGAACCATGGAAAAGCTTACACCGCCGTTGAGATTGTGTAAACTTTATACAAACCTAGACACCGTTGAAACGACCTCGCCTGTAGGTCGAGGCCCTTGCAGAAGTGGCACCAGTGCAGCAACATGGAGCCATGGAACAATGGGGCCCTCACGTTGCCCGTCCCTCCGTATCCGCAGCCGGGCAGCCACAGACCGCCGACCAAGGGCGAACGCCCAGGTCGGCGCGTGAACGCAATTGTCCACAGAGGGCGGACTCGTCACGTTTTCGGTGGAAGATCTCAGTACGATCTCCGCGCGCAGGTCGGAGTGGCAAAGATCTCTCTTCCGCTGAAAACGTGACGAGTCCGCCCTCGGTGGACACGTCCCAAGCCGACGTGGGCGTCCTCCATGGCGAGGTCAAGAGCCGGCCCGATTGGACCCACCCGTTCTGCTTGTGGATTCAACAGAATGTGCTCCGTCAGCATTTTGTCGGATAGGAGCTCTGGCACGAGGTGAGCACGACCGTCGGGGCCCCTCTCGGGTTGCCTTCTGTTTGGTCTTGAAGATCACGCATGCAGCCTTTGCCAAGACTGCATTCAGGAGGGTCCCGAAGTCCTCGCTGAGGCCGCGCAGGTTTCGCGAGCGGGCCGCCGCAGCCACCAAGAAACGCAGTAACCACACCTCGCCAAAGCAGCCATTCCTCGCCTTCAGTCTCCCGAACGTTTTTGGGAAAGGGTTGATGGACTCTCAGGTGGGCGTGTCCAGGTTGCTGGTGGAATCGAGCCAAGCCGCCAAGCCTGACGGGCAAACAGAAGACCCTTGAAACGCGCAATTACAACACATCGCATGAGGCTCCGCCCCTGCTCCAGGGCTCGGCTTCCGAGCCTTCCAGGCCGAGCACCGCGAGCTCAGGTCTGCGCCTGGGAATGGGAAACCGCCGCACCCCGTCACGACCGCGGCGGCCGTTCGAGCCCGCATCGTTCCGTCGAGCTAAGCAGGTTTGCACGTACTCAAGACTCAAACGGCAGAGCTGCAGCCAATCGCAACTTCTGTTGGGTTAGGACTTGAACCTAACGGAATGGTGGCTTGCCGCGCTGGAGCAGGACAGCTTCCATTCCAGGAGTAATGACACTGCATCAGACTGCTGCACTATGTTCCAGGACGCTTTCGACAACCAGTAGCGTGCGAAATTTCTGCGCGGGCCACACTTGGGAAGACGTGGCACATTTCTTAACGACTCCAGCAATTTCGTGGACGACGGTGGCAACACTGCAGTGAGCGTGGGGTTTACAACATCAACTGATGCTGCCACGCCTTGCGATGATTCTAACACATACTTTGCAAAGAAGCCTCAGCTACCACCTTAGTAGCAGGACAGCACCAAATGCGATCTCCACGAGTACGAGACACAACTGAGCAAAAGCGTGCTGCCGACCAGTTAGCACCGCAAAACTTAAGCCTTTTGCATGGGGCATCATAGAACCATTTTCCGCACGAGAACTGGTTCAGTCAATTGGGTAGGCGGTGTCAATATTGCTAATGTTCGACATTTCTTTCCGAGAATGAGCATCGTACCACTAGCAGCAGCAGCAGCAGCAGCAAGAGCAGTAGCAGTATTGGCGGTAGGACTTCATCATCACCATCGCACCATCACTGACATGCTATCAACCATCGTCATCATCGTACGGCCAGTACCGGCGTAACCAGCCAGCATCATCTCAGCACCGTGATCACTGTTCTCACTCTCATCCTCATGCCTCACATGATGCCATGCTCCAAATGTGCTGACTGCTAGCTGCTAGGTCCCGAGCCACGGCAGTCTCGAACTTCGCGTTGACCGCCAAAACCAGCCAGGTGTCGAGGGCATTCGCTCAAATTCAAGCGGAAGGGCTCAGGCGTTCAAGCTCTGCGCTTGGATCCTGCTCCCGCCTGCACCAAACTGCTTGGCAAGGTTGTCCTGACCCCAGGAAGCAGTGAACGAAGCACACAAAGTGACCTTGACCTTCACCTTTACGAGCAGCAGGCCGGCAACCCCTCGTGACTCTCCTGGTTTTATGTGGACTCCCATGTCGAGCGCATCTCCCGCATCTGGTAACCCAGCTCCTGTGGCAGAATTTCTGCTGAACAGCTGCAAGTCCCCTGGTCTACAGTGCCCACCTCGAGCTTTGTCTCCAGGTGTTTCTGACATGCTTGAACCAGATTCCTGCAACATCCACACACTGCCTGGAGTACGCCTTACGCAAGCATGTAATGGCCTCCTGACCCTGCAAGAGCTTTGTGTACTCCAAGTTCAGTTTGCAAACTCTGATCTGTCCTATCCAACAGCAACAACAGCAACTGTAGGATGTCTACAGAGTACTCTCAACACATCACCCTTTCTGTGTGCAGAACCCCTCAGATGCTAGTAGTTCATGCTAGTCCAACATCGTCTTGCCTTCAACTCGCGAGGGGAAGCAATGCCACTGCCATAGGACAGAGCGGAATGGGATCAACAAAGGTGTGCATGCGTCATGCAGGAACGCTTCACGGTCATGTCACGGTTGTAAACGTCATGTAAATTCGCATGCCAGCACGCAACATACACCTACCCTCATACAAACTTCAACTCCTGGACGACTGCATGGATTCATCTGCCTGCGGTTGCCAAACTCTCGCTTGGCCGAAGGTGCTGCGTGACATAGAGAAAAAATCCCAGTCACCAGTGCCTGTCCCATTTAGATACTACTTGTAAGATCGAATACATCTGCTGTTGTTACCATTGGCGACCTTTAAAGTCAGGCAAGTCGGGCATTGTGCACAGTGTGAAACGCTGAAGATCGCGGAAGTTGGGTGGATCTTGGCTTGGCATAGGCATGACAGTCATCGATCACTGCGACAATTACTCCAAGCTTCGGGCTGCACCCAAACCGCAGTCACTTCCGAAGAACGGGGGTCACGTTCGACAGCCCCAAAAACTGATTCTCTACATCAGAACCAGACTCCTCGGAGCTTGTGTGGCCCTCTGTGTGGGACCACGCTTGTGGTGCCAAGCAGCCACAACATCTGGACAAACACGAACAAAAACCGAAGTAAACACTCTGGCGACCAGCAAGAAAAGCAGCAACTAACATTGCGAAGAACAGGAAAATCGTTCCAAGCACCAGGGGCCACATGGACTCCCCTTTACCCAGCGGCTTGTGCATGAATGTGGGCTGTTCCGCACGGGGCTCGAGCAGGTTGCGGCATAAGCCGCTCTCCATCTCCTGCACAATTTCCGTGCGGAGGTCCAACATGTTGTTGGCCAAGATGTTGGTGATGGCCACGTTGAGCGCATCATGGTCGCTCGTGGCGTTCAGGACCTCAAGGCGGGGTTGGGGCGGGGGTCTTCTTTAAACCGTTTGAACGCGCCGATGCCGTATGTCTAAACAGAGGGAAGCTCTGGCCAGTCATGTTTAGACCCTCGGAACTTGTCCGAATACACTAAACGCCAGGTAAAATGCTTAAACCTACGTCTTTAAACAAGTGTGCTCAAGATCCGGAGCACTGAGGCGCCTCCGTGGTGTGTGGCACTTCCAGAACTGTCCAAACGTGCAGTTAAGCGTCAGTTTAAACAAATTCGGGGATGTGTGGCACTCCAGGAACTGTTGAAACATGCTTGTCACAGGTGTTTAAACGTCAGCTTAAATAGAATAGGGATATACGGCACTCAGAGAGCTGGTTAAATGCGTGTTTAAGCAACTGTTGAAAGAGATTCGGAATGAGGGGCACTCGGGGAATTCTTTAAACATGCGCATAAGCATCGCTGCAAGCTCGGTCGTAACAGATTCGGGATGTGAAATGTTGAACCAGGCGTTCAAAGTCAAAATGTCGGATTAAACAGATTGGGGGTGTGGGGTACTCAGGCGATTGTGTAATATTGTGCAACAATGCGCTTCGCCCTGGTACGGGCTGTGTGTGTTGGCACAAGCGTCTAACCCCTGTTTGAATGCTCTCCTTGACAGGTCTAACTGCCTAAACCATGAGAACCATGGTTGCAGCGTCTCAGTGTAAGCCCACGCTGTTTAAACAAGTACACCAACATCCGCAGAGTGGGTAAAGTTGAAAAGTATTTAAGCTCATGCCGTTAAACCGTTTAGACCTAGACACTGTTGAAACGACCTTTAAAGCAAAGAACCAACAGCCACAGACTGACCAAACAATGCCAAACAGCTTGAAACATGTTTAGCCTCATACCGTGTAAACCGTTTAGACCTAAACACTGTTGAGACGAACCTGCCTCGAGGTCGAGGCCCTTGCCGAAGTGGCAGCCTCCGGGCCCGGAGCCCTCGATGGGGAAGTCCAGCAACATGGAGGCGCCGAACAATCGGGCCTTCACGTTGCCTGTCTCCTTGTAGCCGAAACTCGAGAGTCGCAGGTCATACTGGCATTCGACGTCGACCGAAATGTCTTCCACGGAAAATTGTACCAAGCCGCCCTCGGTGGACACGTGGGTCTCCTTGCCGACCTGGGCATCCTTCATGAGGATGTCGTAGAGACGGCCCGATTGGACCCACCCATTCCTCGTGGGTTTCAAAGTTATCTCGTCCGTCAGCTTCTTGTTGGAAAGGAGCTCCTGGACGAGATGAGCACCACTCGCCGTGGTGTCAATGGAGGCTGCTGGCGCCCCTCCTTGATTGCCTTCTATTTGGAAGGTCTTGAAAAAGGCACTCGCAGCCTTCGCCACATCTGCTCTCAACATCGCCCCCAAGTCCTCGCTAAGGCCGCGCAGGTTTCGAGCGTCAGCTGCCCAAGCGGCCGAGGAAAACAGCAGCCAGGCTAAGGCAGCCATGGCCCGGACAGGATGTGGGGGGGGTCTTCCAGAATTGCGGGTTGATGGAATCATCTCATGCAGGCGGGCATGTCCGCATTGCATGCGAAGTCGAGCAGAAGTCACGATAAGTCACGCAAACAAATCGAAGTAGCCAAAAGCAAGGCTCCTGCTGGCGACGGTGATCGACGCTGTGCATCGTGCTGCATGCAACTCTCTGTCCGATGTCCTGCTGCACCGAGCCCCAGCCCAACAGCATGTTTTCGACTGCCTGAAGGTGCCGATGCTTGCAGAACTTGGCCCCAGTGCTGCCACAAAGCTCCAGGGCAGCTCGGCGCCCCTGCAGAAGTTACAAGAGAAAGCCTGCTGCCATTAGAGACCGGCGATGCAGCTCGACACAACCAGGCATGCATCCCCTACGATCTCTGTCGATCCACGAAGGCATCGTACGGCGTAGCTATCACGAGACACGGGTGCAAAAAAACGCCCCTGAATGCGAAGGCTTCATGTCACGAGGCCGACCAAACTCCCGCACATTCAGCACGCTGCGCCAGGACGGAATGTTCGTCTCTTCGGGGGCTAGATAGGGGAAGTAATGCTGCTGCCATGGGGCGGCCGGGACGTTGCCAACAGCAGCTCAAAGATGCACTACTGTCTTTTTGGTGTGGATGTGTGGGCGCATGCATACACATGACAAGCACGGACATTCATCATGCTTCATCGAATCGACACCAACTCGCCAGCAACGGTGTGAATTCATCCTTCCGTGGTTGCCAACCACTCGTTTGGTTTTTGTGCGCGGTCTAGGAAGCTGTGGGTCTGCATCCGTTATTCGACAGAGAAGGGCTGGAAACACACTCCTGCCACTCCCATTCGAGCATAGTAGAGAGCGAAAAGCATTTATGGCACCGGACACCGCACTTGCTTCTCACGCTTCGTCCTTCAGTGACTTTTTGTGCTCTCGTTCACCTTTTTCATATGTTGACTCTCCCGCCCTCTGCCTTTCCCTCTGATCCTTGTTTTGGGGCCGCAGGATGGATAGGTGGAAGTGCAACCGATGCGGGGACGCGCTGGACTTACGGCGCTGGCTCTGTTAGCCATGCATGCTTGCTATCCAACTAAGCAGTGCTTGCATATGCTTGCATGGCCATGGGGCATCATAGAACCATTTTCCGCACGAGAACTGGTTCAGTCAATTGGGTAGGCGGTGTCAATATTGCTAATGTTCGACATTTCTTTCCGAGAATGAGCATCGTACCACTAGCAGCAGCAGCAGCAGCAAGAGCAGTAGCAGTATTGGCGGTAGGACTTCATCATCACCATCGCACCATCACTGACATGCTATCAACCATCGTCATCATCGTACGGCCAGTACCGGCGTAACCAGCCAGCATCATCACAGCACCGTGATCACTGTTCTCACTCTCATCCTCATGCCTCACATGATGCCATGCTCCAAATGTGCTGACTGCTAGCTGCTAGGTCCCGAGCCACGGCAGTCTCGAACTTCGCGTTGACCGCCAAAACCAGCCAGGTGTCGAGGGCATTCGCTCAAATTCAAGCGGAAGGGCTCAGGCGTTCAAGCTCTGCGCTTGGATCCTGCTCCCGCCTGCGCCAAACTGCTTGGCAAGGTTGTCCTGACCCCAGGAAGTAGTGAACGAAGCACACAAAGTGACCTTGACCTTCACCTTTACGAGCAGCAGGCCGGCAACCCCTCGTGACTCTCCTGGTTTTATGTGGACTCCCATGTCGAGCGCATCTCCCGCATCTGGTAACCCAGCTCCTGTGGCAGAATTTCTGCTGAACAGCTGCAAGTCCCCTGGTCTACAGTGCCCACCTCGAGCTTTGTCTCCAGGTGTTTCTGACATGCTTGAACCAGATTCCTGCAACATCCACACACTGCCTGGAGTACGCCTTACGCAAGCATGTAATGGCCTCCTGACCCTGCAAGAGCTTTGTGTACTCCAAGTTCAGTTTGCAAACTCTGATCTGTCCTATCCAACAGCAACAACAGCAACTGTAGGATGTCTACAGAGTACTCTCAACACATCACCCTTTCTGTGTGCAGAACCCCTCAGATGCTAGTAGTTCATGCTAGTCCAACATCGTCTTGCCTTCAACTCGCGAGGGGAAGCAATGCCACTGCCATAGGACAGAGCGGAATGGGATCAACAAAGGTGTGCATGCGTCATGCAGGAACGCTTCACGGTCATGTCACGGTTGTAAACGTCATGTAAATTCGCATGCCAGCACGCAACATACACCTACCCTCATACAAACTTCAACTCCTGGACGACTGCATGGATTCATCTGCCTGCGGTTGCCAAACTCTCGCTTGGCCGAAGGTGCTGCGTGACATAGAGAAAAAATCCAGTAACCAGCGCCTGTCCCATTTAGATACTACTTGTAAGATCGAATACATCTGTTGTTGTTACCATTGGCGACCTTTAAAGTCAGGCAAGTCGGGCATTGTGCACAGTGTGAAACGCGGAAGTTGGGTGGATCTTGGCTTGGCATAGGCATGACAGTCATCGATCACTGCGACAATTACTCCAAGCTTCGGGCTGCACCCAAACCGCAGTCACTTCCGAAGAACGGGGGTCACGTTCGACAGCCCCAAAAACTGATTCTCTACATCAGAACCAGACTCCTCGGAGCTTGTGTGGCCCTCTGTGTGGGACCACGCTTGTGGCGCCAAGCAGCCACAACATCTGGACAAACACGAACAAAAACCGAAGTAAACACTCTGGCGACCAGCAAGAAAAGCAGCAACTAACATTGCGAAGAACAGGAAAATCGTTCCAAGCACCAGGGGCCACATGGACTCCCCTTTGCCCAGCGGCTTGTGCATGAATGTGGGCTGTTCCGCACGGGGCTCGAGCAGGTTGCGGCATAAGCCGCTCTCCATCTCCTGAACGATTTCGGTCCGGAGGTCCAACATGTTGTTGGCCAAGATGTTGGTGATCGCGACGTTGAGCGCATCATGGTCGCTCGTGGCGTTCAGGACCTCAAGGCGGGGTTGGGGCGGGGGTCTTCTTTAAACCGTTTGAACGCACCGATGCCATATGTCTAAACAGAGGGAAGCTCTGGCCAGTCATGTTTCGATCCTCGGAACTTGTCTAACCCGAATACGCCTTCGTGGTGTGTGGCACTTTCAGAACTGTCTAAACATGCGGTTAAACGTCAGTTTAAACAAATTCGGGGATGTGTGGCACTCCAGGAACTGTTGAAACATGCTTGCCACATGTGTTTAAACGTCAGCTTAAACAGAATAGGGATATGCGGCACCCAGAGAGCTGGTTAAATGCGTGTTTAAGCAACTGTTGAAAGAGATTCGGAATGAGGGGCACTCGGGGAATTCTTTAAACATGCGTATAAGCATCGCTGTAAGCTCGGTTGTAACAGATTCGGGATGTGAAATGTTGAACCAGGCGTTCAAAGTCAAAATGTCGGATTAAACAGATTGGGGGTGTGGGGTACTCAGGCGACTGTGTAACATTGTGCAACAATGCGCTTCGCCCTGGTACGGGCTGTGTGTGTTGGCACAAGCGTCTAACCCCTGTTTGAATGCTCTCCTTGACAGGTCTAACTGCCTAAGCCATGAGAACCATGGTTGCAGCGTCTCAGTGTAAGCCCACGCTGTTTAAACAAGTACACCAACATCCGCAGAGTGGGTAAAGTTGAAAAGTATTTAAGCTCATGCCGTTAAACCGTTTAGACCTAGACACTGTTGAAACGACCTTTAAAGCAAAGAACCAACAGCCACAGACTGACCAAACAATGCCAAACAGCTTGAAACATGTTTAGCCTCATACCGTGTAAACCGTTTAGACCTAAACACTGTTGAGACGAACCTGCCTCGAGGTCGAGGCCCTTGCCGAAGTGGCAGCCTCCGGGCCCGGAGCCCTCGATGGGGAAGTCCAGCAACATGGAGGCGCCGAACAATCGGGCCTTCACGTTGCCTGTCTCCTTGTAGCCGAAACTCGAGAGTCGCAGGTCATACTGGCATTCGACGTCGACCGAAATGTCTTCCACGGAAAATTGTACCAAGCCGCCCTCGGTGGACACGTGGGTCTCCTTGCCGACCTGGGCATCCTTCATGAGGATGTCGTAGAGACGGCCCGATTGGACCCACCCATTCCTCGTGGGTTTCAAAGTTATCTCGTCCGTCAGCTTCTTGTTGGAAAGGAGCTCCTGGACGAGATGAGCACCACTCGCCGTGGTGTCAATGGAGGCTGCTGGCGCCCCTCCTTGATTGCCTTCTATTTGGAAGGTCTTGAAAAAGGCACTCGCAGCCTTCGCCACATCTGCTCTCAACATCGCCCCCAAGTCCTCGCTAAGGCCGCGCAGGTTTCGAGCGTCAGCTGCCCAAGCGGCCAAGGAAAACAGCAGCCAGGCTAAGGCAGCCATGGCCCGGACAGGATGTGGGGGGGGTCTTCCAGAATTGCGGGTTGATGGAATCATCTCATGCAGGCGGGCATGTCCGCATTGCATGTGAAGTCGAGCAGAAGTCACGATAAGTCACGCAAACAACTCGAAGTAGCCAAAAGCAAGGCTCGTGCTGGCGACGGTGATTGACGCTGTGCATCGTGCTGCATGCAACTCTCTGTCCTATGTCCCGCCGCACCGAGCCCCAACCCAACAGCATGTTTTGGACTGCCTGACGGTACCGATGCTTGGAGAACTTGGCTCCAGCGCAGCTGCACCCAAGCTCCAGGGCAGCTCGGCGCCCCTGCAGAAGTTACAAGAGAAAGCCTGCTGCCCTTAGAGACCGGCGATCCAGCTCGACACCACCAGGCATGCATCCCCTACGATCTCTGTCGATCCACGAAGGCATCGTACGGCGTAGCTATCACGAGACACTGGTGCAAAAAAAAGCCCCTGAATGCGAAGGCTTCATGTCACGAGGCCGACCAAACTCCCGCACATTCAGCACGCTGCGCCAGGACGGAATGTTCGTCTCTTCGAGGGGTAGATAGGGGAAGTAATGCTGCTGCCATGGGGCGGCCGGGACGTTGCCAACAGCAGCTCAAAGATGCACTACTGTCTTTTTGGTGTGGATGTGTGGGCGCATGCATACACATGACAAGCACGGACATTCATCATGCTTCATCGAATCGACACCAACTCGCCAGCAACGGTGTGAATTCATCTTTCCGTGGTTGCCAACCACTCGTTTGGTTTTTGTGCGCGGTCTAGGAAGCTGTGGGTCTGCATCCGTTATTCCACAGAGAAGGGCTGGAAACACACTCCTGCCACTCCCATTCGAGCATAGTAGAGAGCGAAAAGCATTTATGGCACCGGACACCGCACTTGCTTCTCACGCTTCGTCCTTCAGTGACTTTTTGTGCTCTCGTTCACCTTTTTCATATGTTGACTCTCCCGCCCTCTGCCTTTCCCTCTGATCCTTGTTTTGGGGCCGCAGGATGGATAGGTGGAAGTGCAACCGATGCGGGGACGCGCTGGACTTACGGCGCTGGCTCTGTTAGCCATGCATGCTTGCTATCCAACTAAGCAGTGCTTGCATATGCTTGCATGGCCCGACAGAAGGCACCCGCGGTGGGGCGCCGCCTGGGAACCCCGATCCAAACCCCTGGCCTTTCGGAGGGGGGTAAGATGCTTCAGTTTGGGGTAGATAATCTGCCATGGCAACCCTAAGCCCAGGATCCGGGGTGCAGACTTCACAACAGCAATGCAGGCACGACAATCAAAACATCGAATTCGAGACTACGGTTGAAACCGCAACGGCGTGTTGAGAGATAACGCATAACATTTCCAAAGGGATGGAATACATAACCAGAGGGGCCTTGGAGATTGATTCTATGCCTTCCTGCTACATGACCTCCGATCGGGGATGATCGGGGAGGGGGGGTTCGGAAATACATTCTCAGGGCTACCACATAAAAGGCTGGCAGCAAGTGGACTTTGCTCTGTGGACTTCACTGCGATGGCACTTCTAGAGCGCCCTGTTTGAACGCTCTCCTTGACAGGTCTAACTGCCTAAGCCATGAGAACCATGGTTGCAGCGTCTCAGTGTAAGCCCACGCTGTTTAAACAAGTACACCAACATCCATCCACAGACTGACCAAACAACGCCAAACAGCTTGAAACATGTTTAGCCTCATACCGTGTAAACCGTTTAGACCTAAACACTGTTGAGACGAACCTGCCTCGAGGTCGAGGCCCTTGCCGAAGTGGCAGCCTCCGGGCCCGGAGCCCTCGATGGGGAAGTCCAGCAACATGGAGGCGCCGAACAATCGGGCCTTCACGTTGCCTGTCTCCTTGTAGCCGAAACTCGAGAGTCGCAGGTCATACTGGCATTCGACGTCGACCGAAATGTCTTCCACGGAAAATTGTACCAAGCCGCCCTCGGTGGACACGTGGGTCTCCTTGCCGACCTGGGCATCCTTCATAAGGATGTCGTAGAGACGGCCCGATTGGACCCACCCATTCCTCGTGGGCTTTACTTTCCAACAAGGAGCTGACGGACGAGATCACATGATCTCGTCCGTCAGCGCCTTGTTGGAAAGGAGCTCCTGGACGAGATGAGCACCACTCGCCGTGGTGTCAATGGAGGCTGCCGGTGCCCCTCCTTGATTGCCTTCTATTTGGAAGGTCTTGAAAAAGGCACTCGCAGCCTTCGCCACACCTGCTCTCAACATCGCCCCCAAGTCCTCGCTGAGGCCGCGCAGGTTTCGAGCGTCAGCTGCCCAAGCGGCCAAGGAAAACAGCAGCCAGGCTAAGGCAGCCATGGCCCGGACAGGATGTGGGATGTGGGGGGGGGGGGGGGGGCTTCCAGAATTGCGGGTTGATGGAATCATCTCATGCAGGCGGGCATGTCCGCATTGCATGTGAAGTCGAGCAGAAGTCACGATAAGTCACGATAAGTCACGCAAACAACTCGAAGTAGCCAAAAGCAAGGCTCCTGCTGGCGACGGTGATTGACGCTGTGCATCGTGCTGCATGCAACTCTCTGTCCTATGTCCCGCCGCACCGAGCCCCAACCCAACAGCATGTTTTGGACTGCCTGACGGTACCGATGCTTGGAGAACTTGGCTCCAGCGCAGCTGCACCCAAGCTCCAGGGGCAGCTCGGCGCCCCTGCAGAAGTTACAAGAGAAAGCCTGCTGCCCTTAGAGACCGGCGATCCAGCTCGACACCACCAGGCATGCATCCCCTACGATCTCTGTCGATCCACGAAGGCATCGTACGGCGTAGCTATCACGAGACACTGGTGCAAAAAAACGCCCCTGAATGCGAAGGCTTCATGTCACGAGGCCGACCAAACTCCCGCACATTCAGCACGCTGCGCCAGGACGGAATGTTCGTCTCTTCGAGGGGTAGATAGGGGAAGTAATGCTGCTGCCATGGGGCGGCCGGGACGTTGCCAACAGCAGCTCAAAGATGCACTACTGTCTTTTTGGTGTGGATGTGTGGGCGCATGCATACACATGACAAGCACGGACATTCATCATGCTTCATCGAATCGACACCAACTCGCCAGCAACGGTGTGAATTCATCTTTCCGTGGTTGCCAACCACTCGTTTGGTTTTTGTGCGCGGTCTAGGAAGCTGTGGGTCTGCATCCGTTATTCGACAGAGAAGGGCTGGAAACACACTCCTGCCACTCCCATTCGAGCATAGTAGAGAGCGAAAAGCATTTATGGCACCGGACACCGCACTTGCTTCTCACGCTTCGTCCTTCAGTGACTTTTTGTGCTCTCGTTCACCTTTTTCATATGTTGACTCTCCCGCCCTCTGCCTTTCCCTCTGATCCTTGTTTTGGGGCCGCAGGATGGATAGGTGGAAGTGCAACCGATGCGGGGACGCGCTGGACTTACGGCGCTGGCTCTGTTAGCCATGCATGCTTGCTATCCAACTAAGCAGTGCTTGCATATGCTTGCATGGCCCCCGCGGTGGGGCGCCGCCTGGGAACCCCGACCCAAACCCCTGGCCTTTCGGAGGGGGGTAAGATGCTTCAGTTTGGGGTAGATAATCTGCCATGGCAACCCTAAGCCCAGGATCCGGGGTGCAGACTTCACAACGGCAATGCAGGCACGACAATCAAAACATCGAATTCGAGACTACGGTTGAAACCGCAACGGCGCGTTGAGAGATAACGCATAACATTTCCAAAGGGATGGAATACATAACCAGAGGGGCCTTGGAGATTGATTCTATGCCTTCCTGCTACATGACCTCCGATCGGGGATGATCGGGGAGGGGGGGTTCGGAAATACATTCTCAGGGCTACCACATAAAAGGCTGGCAGCAAGTGGACTTTGCTCTGTGGACTTCACTGCGATGGCACTTCTAGAGCGCCCTGTTTGAACGCTCTCCTTGACAGGTCTAACTGCCTAAGCCATGAGAACCATGGTTGCAGCGTCTCAGTGTAAGCCCACGCTGTTTAAACAAGTACACCAACATCCATCCACAGACTGACCAAACAACGCCAAACAGCTTGAAACATGTTTAGCCTCATACCGTGTAAACCGTTTAGACCTAAACACTGTTGAGACGAACCTGCCTCGAGGTCGAGGCCCTTGCCGAAGTGGCAGCCTCCGGGCCCGGAGCCCTCGATGGGGAAGTCCAGCAACATGGAGGCGCCGAACAATCGGGCCTTCACGTTGCCTGTCTCCTTGTAGCCGAAACTCGAGAGTCGCAGGTCATACTGGCATTCGACGTCGACCGAAATGTCTTCCACGGAAAATTGTACCATTCCACCCTCGGTGGACACGTGGGTCTCCTTGCCGACCCGGGCATCCTTCATAAGGATGTCGTAGAGACGGCCCGATTGGACCCACCCATTCCTCGTGGGCTTTACTTTCCAACAAGGAGCTGACGGACGAGATCACATGATCTCGTCCGTCAGCGCCTTGTTGGAAAGGAGCTCCTGGACGAGATGAGCACCACTCGCCGTGGTGTCAATGGAGGCTGCCGGTGCCCCTCCTTGATTGCCTTCTATCTGGAAGGTCTTGAAAAAGGCACTCGCAGCCTTCGCCACACCTGCTCTCAACATCGCCCCCAAGTCCTCGCTGAGGCCGCGCAGGTTTCGAGCGTCAGCCGCCCAAGCGGCCAAGGAAAACAGCAGCCAGGCTAAGGCAGCCATGGCCCGGACAGGATGTGGGGGGGTCTTCCAGAATTGCGGGTTGATGGAATCATCTCATGCAGGCGGGCATGTCCGCATTGCATGTGAAGCCGAACAGAAGTCACGATAAGTCACGCAAACAACTCGAAGTAGCCAAAAGCAAGGCTCCTGCTGGCGACGGTGATCGACGCTGTGCATCGTGCTGCATGCAACTCTCTGTCCTATGTCCCGCCGCACCGAGCCCCAACCCAACAGCATGTTTTCGACTGCCTGACGGTACCGATGCTTGGAGAACTTGGCTCCAGCGCAGCTGCGGCAAAGCTCCAGAGCAGCTCGGCGCCCCTGCAAGTCACAAGACAAACCGTGCTGCTTGTAAAGACCGACGATGCAGCTCGACATCCACTCCGATCTCTGTCGATCTGCTTCCACGAAGGCAGGCCACAATGCTCGTAGACTCGTAGCTATCACGAGACATCTGTTTCAAAAAAGCCCCTGAATGCAAAGATTTCACGTGCAGCGATGCCCTCCACGAGTCCGACTAAACTCCTCACATTCGGCGGGCTGCCCAACCACTGGAACCGAAGGCTCGTTTCGAGGGGAAGCAATGCTGCTGCCATGGGCGGCAGGGACGCTGCCAGCAGCAGTTCGATTATGTTCTGCTTTTCTTGTGTGGCTGTGGGAGCATAAATGCACGTCACACGACGGACATTCATCATGATTCGTCGAATCCACACCAACTTGCGGACGACAGCATGAAGTCGCGTTTCCGCGGTTGACGACCACTCGTTTGGTTCGAGTTGCTGCGCGACATGTGAAGCAGGTCTGCATCCGTTGTTCCACAGAGCAGGGCTGGAAATGGGTTCAATTCAGGTTATATGCGTATCTACCTCCTGCCGCCACTCCCGTTCGAGCATAGTAGGGGGCGAAAATGCATTTACGGCACAGGGCACCGCACTCGCTTCTCACGTTGCATCCTTCCGTGATCTTCCGTGTTCTCTTTCACCTTTGTCACATTTTGGCTCTCCTCCGCCCTCTGCCTTTCCCTCTCCTGGAGGTCCAACAGACGCACGGGCTCGTTGGACTTACGGCGCTGGCTCTGCAAGCGATGCACGCTTGCTAACCAGTGCGTGCATGCCCGACAGAAGGCACCCGCAGTGGGGCACCGCCTGGGAACCCCAACGCCCTGGCGTTTCGAAGGGGGGTTAAGATGCTTCGGTTTAGGTAGATAAGTTAAGTTGCCTTGGAAAACCTAGGGTCGGGATCCAGGCTGCAGATTTCACAACAGCAATGCAGGCACGACAACCAAAACCCTCGAAAAACGCAACGCAGGCATGTTGAGGGATAACGCCTCATATTTCTAGGAGAGGGTAGGGCGGAATACGGAACCAGAGGTGCCTTGTACTGAGTTTAGTGAGCTCCTGCTAAATGACCTTCCATCTTGGGGGCATATTGTGTTGGCAGCAAGTGCTCTTTGTTCTCTGTTGTGACTGATACCACTGCTCTTGTGGTTGCAACACTTTATCACCATTGCACTACTCCTGCTGGTGCTGCAGCCGAGTCTTAATGTTCCTGCTATCTTCTTGGTTTCGTTTTGCGGGAATTCACTGCGATGGCGACGACCCCCAAAACCAAGCTTCTAGAACGAACCGATAGAGCCAGCACCCTGCCTGGTCCGCATGAGTGGCATCCTCAGGCACGACAGTCTTGTCTGAACAACGGCGCGACCTTAGCCCGGATGACGAGCTTCTGCCGATGCAATCAAGAGCAGCAGTCTACTCGCCAGACAAATGCCTTGAGGCTGCTGCGTTCAATTTCTTCTGCGTCAAGTCTAGATTGCGACTCCTGGGCCTTCGCCCGGACAGCAGCACTCACGCCAGAAGAGAAAGCTCCGAAGCACCTAGCGCTGCCGAGTGCAGCAATACAATCTAGTTGTTCACGCTTGTCCAACATCATCTTGCCTTCACCTCTGTCTGATTAGCCATATCGCACGACTTGTTCAGATACACACATTCATACATACATACATACATACGTACGTATACATAAATATGTATGTTTAACTGCAACGCACTCTACTAAACAGCAAAGCTTCCGCAAGCACTTGTTTTCCCGAAGGTGGGGTTCTGCGGCCAAGCCGTCTTTCTGTCACAAACTGACTCCGGCCCCTAGCACTGCAAAGTCTGGCGAAGTCTGCAGTCTGGCTAGAGAGGCTGAGTCTAGACACAGCACCGGCTATTCAGGAAAACGGAGGCGACTGACCTGGACCGGCAATCACGCCCCCCCGCCGTCTGTGCTGGCCCACTGGCCGTCTATAAGTCCGTCTGCGACAGACTGGCAAGTCAAACATGCCTGCACCTGCGCAAAATCTACAACGGCTGTGACCTTGAGTCCAGCAAAGACTGTACGTCCACACAAAAGTCTATCATGTCCAACGCGACTGACATGTACAACGCCGCTGCGGACATTTGTCAGGAACTGAAAGTCTCTGCTACTGGCTACCAAGGCTAGACTGTGGCTCACGCTCTGCAGCAACTGGACGTCTTCGGCTGAGGAGCCGTCTGACTGTACTTCGCTGTCACTGCTGCTGTCTGAGGAAGACTGCACCGTGGCTGACTCCAGGAGCGGCTTGCTGACCAGAGACTTGGGCACTGCTGAGGAGGCTGCTGCTGGAGTCGTCGACTGCTCCACCTGCCAACGACCAGACCTGGTTGAGTCGGGCTTGAACTTGCCGTTCTTGACGTCTTGAAGCACGCCAACCAGGTGTCTAAGCGGTCCTGCAAGACTGTCCCTGCCGTAGCTCATTGCGCTTGAGCTCTTTCCTCGACTGTGGTAGCCTAACAAGGTCTGGTCGGGGTCTGGGATCCCGGCCTTCATTGTCCAGCTCAGACACGTGGCTTTTAGTCCCTGACTGGACATCTTTAAGATGTCGTCTGGGTTGCTGCCAGGCTGCCGTGACAAAAGGCAGCGCAGCCATCTTGAGGCTGTTGCTGAATCCATGTTGACTGGTAGAAGACTGCCATCGGCTGCTAACTGCTAACTCTGGTAGTAGTGGGTTGTCTGCGAGGCTGCCTTCGCACTGGAGCCCTAAGTCCTGACGAAGTTCCAGCCAACGGACTGCCCAAGGCTCTGCGCAAATTCCTTCGGCTGGTGCGACTATTGGCAAGAACATGTTGCGCCTGCGGCTGGATTTTGTCTGTTTGGGATTTAGCACCGAACACTCAATGAAAACAACGTTGCCTTCATCGTCTGTGTCGACTGTCAGCTTCTGGCTTCGCTTCAGGTCACTGTGTCGTGCTCTGGCATATACCATAAAAAGAAAGGTAGATGCCAAGTAGCACTCGTACTGCGATTCGTCTGCGGCTGCAAAGGACTGTAGCCACCTGACCTGGTCTGTAGACAGCGCTGGTGCCTGCTTGCTAGGCTTCTGCTGCCTGAGACTCTGGTGCGCGATTCCCTGCACTCGCGCACTGACTAAAGTGGAGGCTGCGACTTGCAGTCCCAGACAGCCCTGACTGAAGTTCAAGGCCTGGCAGAGCTGGTCTGGAACACTGCTGCTTGGCTGCTGTCCTGTAACGTGCTGGCAGTAAAGAAAAACCAAAGGCTCACTCAAGGGCTCGTGCGGAAAGGCCTTCAGACACCAGGCTGCAAATCTCTGTAAGCTGCTGATTCTGTTCAGCAGCGTGTTGGTGCTCTTTTTGGCGAACCTCAGGTCTAGGTTCCCGAGCTCCACGCGACTGTTCTCGTGGGCCACCTCGCTCACTGTGTTCGGCTGAAAGAAGTGCGGCACGGCCCTCAACAACTGGCTCCACTTGGCCAGAGCTGCCTGCCGCTCCGCCTGACTGTCTTGTGGCTGCCACTGACTGAGAGCGCGCAGCTTGGGCCGCGGCGCGACTGGTACTGAGGATTCTGGCTTTTTAGAAGACTGTTTCGGCCACGGCAAGGGAACTGCTGCCGGCTGAGACAGAAGTCTGTCCTGCAAGTCGTCTAAGAAAGTCCTATCCTCGGACACAAAACTGAAGGTCCCTGTTTCCCAGGGCAGCTGCAAGTCTGACCTGGTTCTTTTGACGGAACCGAAGCCGAATCCACATTCCCAACTGGGATCTAAGGTCCGTCTCATAGGGTAGTGGAGGGTGGGCTGAAAATTTTCTGGCACTTTGAGCCAAAATGGACGTGACGATCGCAGTTAAAGTCTGATACATGTATGCAAGCCTTAACTGCAACGCACTCTACTAAACAGCAAAGCTTCCGCAAGCACTTGTTTTCCCGAAGGTGGGGTTCTGCGGCCAAGCCGTCTTTCTGTCACAAACTGACTCCGGCCCCTAGCACTGCAAAGTCTGGCGAAGTCTGCAGTCTGGCTAGAGAGGCTGAGTCTAGACACAGCACCGGCTATTCAGGAAAACGGAGGCGACTGACCTGGACCGGCAATCACGCCCCATCTTCTTTCACATGCCGGTCTGCTGATCCTCTCAGTCTGCTGGCCGCAGGAACTGCTGTGGGACTGACCCTCTCGCCAAACAGCGCAACCACCCCACCTTCACTTCCCTCTCGGTGGCGTGTCTAAGAAACTCGGCTGCTTCGCCCCTGCTGGGCGCGTCTGCAGGGTTGCTAGCGCTAGGCACTCTGGCAAACCACGACTGAAGCATGAACTCTTCTTCGCAACAAAGGACCGTCTGTAAAAGTCTGTAGTTGGACTCAGGAAAACCTCTGGCGCTAATGAGGCAGTGTCTGACTGCGTCATTGTCTATCCACCACGTCACTGGCCACTCGGCCATGGCTGAACTCCACAGGGCGGCTGCTACACAGACTGCCAGCATTTCACACTGCAGAATCGGATGGCTAGTCCCCTCATGCAGCCAAGCCTGCACCATATCCTGTTGTACTGTTGCCTGGAACCACTCTGTGATTTGGCCTGTGGGGCTGCAAAGCACTCCGCCTATGCGTCCAAGCCCTGCTTCAAAACTGCCGTCCGTAAAAACGTTGTACGCCTTCGTCGGGGGCCTTTTGAAGGCCCTAGGCTTGGCTGTGGGTACGTGCAGCTGCACCCATTCGAGCGCATCTCTCAACTGAGGCGAGAGCTGCAGTTGTCTGTTCCGGCCTGGTCTGGTACCGTGCTCGAGTATGGTGCGGAAAGCCCATCGGCCCTTCCGGCCAAAGACTTGGGCGTCCAGCCATCTGAGCCTGCCTGCGAACGCCAGGCACTCCGCAGGAGAGAACTTTCCTGAGGCTAAGGCCCTCTGGCAAGTCGCGGTCACTTCCTGCTTCCTGCCTTCTGTGTTGCTGACTCTGACAAAGCCTGAGGGCGTTCTAGGCAGAATGTAGGCTATTCCTAGGCTGACAAAGCTCTCTGCGAAAGACTGTGCTTTGCTGCCGTCCAGGGCTGCGCGCCAGCCCAACAGCTTCAAGAGAAGCAAGAAGCAGGTCTCTACGCTCTGGCTGTCTTCTGCCACTGTGACTGAGGTGTAATCATCGAAGAATACAGTAAGAGGAAGCAACAAAAGGCAGACTGCAATTTGCCAGATTGCAAGACTGCAGCGGCTGAAGCCGTGCACACTGCCTGTGGCTCCGAAGGGCAGGGCTTTGAGCGCTAGTACTGCAGGAGCAGCAGCGTCTGGATTCCATACTGAGACCTTTGCAAAGGGGAGGTCTTCTGTGGCTATGCCTAACTGCTTGAAAGCTGTCTTCAGATCAAATGTCCTCCCTTTCATGCCTGCTGGCTGCGATGCCTTCCGCTTGCTGGAGAGGCATCGAGACTGTATGTGCAACGCCAGCGATATGGTGCTGGAGGACGGCTGCACCACTATCTTTTCGTCTGAGCCTAGGCTGGAGTTGACTGAGCTGACTGAGAGATCGTCGATTGGCCTCGTTTTGTCGCCTTGAACGACAGGGAAGCGGCGGCCTAAGACGCAGTTCTCTGGAGCCTGAGTGTGGCCAGTTTCCAAGGTGGCCCAGCCTTGGGCACACTCTTTGAGGCTTTGCTCCCACAGCTCCCTGTCTAGCTTGGGGTCTGCGCTTGGCTTGCACTGGCTCCAGATCTGGTGGTTGTGCTTTTTCCTGATATCCCAGACCTCTTCTCTGTGCATGACTGGCGGCACAACCTTGCTGGGCCGAGTGTCTGTATCAGGCAGCCAACCTGTGATCCGAAAACCTGAGCGCATGTCACGGACTAGCTGCTTGTCAGGAAAACCTATTCCCTGCAGGATGGTGTCAAACAGCCTGAGACGCTTCCCTTTGAGGATGTCTCTCAGGTGAGGCTGCAACTGACTGTGGTCTGAATCCTCCTGCTCTTGCAATTCCCTAGCCATGTCACACAGGGAGCGCAGCCGCTGACAACGCAACTTGTGAATTTCCGACAGACTGCGACTGCTGAGGCTGCTCACTGTTCTCTCAAGGGCTTCAGGCAGTGGCGGCAACGAGCAGGCTGGGTGCTGACTGGCCACTGCTGCCTTGAGGAAGTCTGCTGGCTCCACTGGCTGTCCGACTAAGGCCCACCAGACTCCTTGCTCCACCACTACTTTCACTGTGGTGGAGCCCTTAGGAAAACTTGCGTCCTGAAGGCGTACACCTGGCACAAACTTTATCCTGTCAGAGTCGCCGTTCAGCTGCACCCACTGCTGGCCCTGAAAGGGGTCTACGGCAACTGGCGCATGCGTGGCCTTGGGAAACAGACCCAAAGATGCCCTTTCAGCGGCTGCGAAACGCTGAGTGCCATGCGACATGCCCGGTTCCTGCAGTCCCTTCGTGGCTACAAGCTCCTGTGTGAGCAGAGCTGCCCAATGCCTGCGAAGGGCTTGTGGGTACGCAGCCTCTTCTGCGGTGGACCAAACTGATCCAGACTTGCCCCAAGGCAGGTGTACATGATTGAGGCCCGGGTGGCATCTCAATGTCAAGGCTGTGACTGACTTGGCGCTCGACCAAAACGTGGTCGCCTTCCGCCTGGCTCCCCCGTAAACGCAGCTGTCGAACGTCCCGAAATGGATTTTGTCCTTGTTGTCCTTCCAGAGGCTCTGGATAGGGGTACACAACCAAAACAAACTTGATTGCGGATTTTCCAAGGACCAGCAAATGTCGGCTTCAATGCAAGCCCTGATGACGAGTGCTGTGAACTGGTAAAGTCTGTTCGCTGCCCTGACACGCTGTCTCTGCAAGAACCCCAGGGTTGGTAGCCCGTCGGGGTGCAGCGGGCTGCGGAGTGGCTGAGGGGAGCCTGCACCTGCATAAATATTTCTCGCGGCACTACTGGTTCCGCACGGTGGGGCTAGATGCACTGCAAAGATCCTTTTGGAGCGAAGAAGATCAAGGACTAACTTCTGGCTTGGAGGCTGTGCCAGATCTAGGCTGAGCCCTGCAACACCACTGGGCTTGACTGAATCGACTGCCAAAACTTGCAGGCCCAGCCTGGCGAATGCCTTAGACATACGAGCTGTGCCTGCGAACAGTTCTAAGAAAAGTTCGCCCCTGCTACCCTGCGCGGCCTGCGCAGGCTGAGTCGGCTGCGTGGCCGGTGCGTCTGCAGAGGCCTGCGCTGGTGTCTGCTCCCTCTCCTGTTGAGGTTCCACAACGGCTGGAGGGTCTGGCTGAGCTGGCACCTCGGCTTGGGTGGGCGCCAGGTCTGAAGCGACTGCGGAGACTGTTTCTGCTAAGTCTGGCTTAGGCGGCTGTTTCTCAACACCTGAGGCGCAGGGTGAAGGGCCTGACTGACTTTCGACTGCTGTGGTGATTGGCGAGCCTGCGGTGTCCTCTGAAACCGCGAGGCCCGGTCTCACCACTGTACTAGGGTTTCACTTGTCGCAGGCTGAGTACGAGTGATCGCCGTGACACTTCATGCAGATGTGCAGACCTCGGCGGCAAGACAGGCCGTGGTCAGTCTGCCAGGTCTCTTCACTGCAGCCGTGTGGCAGACTGTGGTTAAAGCAAATGGGCTGACCCTTGAAGTTGGGGTCTAGACCTTTTAACGCGGCAGGCACGGACGTCTGCGTCTTGTCTTTGCCCTTGCCGTTCTTGCCTTTGCCTGTCTTTCCTGCCTGCCACGCCTGCTGCATGAACTTACCTTTGCCTTTGCCTTTTCCGCCTTTCTCGCCTGTGAAAGACTGTTCCCAGGTCCTCTTGAAAGGCTGCTTCTCGGGCTTCTCTGGCTTGGGCACTGGCACGAGAAAGTATGCAACTTGCATGCTGTGCTGCCAGTTCTTGATCGCGTTGTCGATAGCGTCTGCCTTGCCTGGACCTGTGAACTCACTACCAACTTCCTCAGCCACGCGCACCCACAACTCACGGTCAGCCCTGAGCAGAGAGTCTATCCCTGGCGCTTCAAACTTGGGCGGTGGCGGTCTGTGCAGGTGCTCTAAGAGAGATCGGGCATAGGCCTCGTGAACTTCAAATGTCCCGATGCCTGCCATCTCCATGGCTATGCCACGCCTGCTGAGCGCCTGGGCCACTCTGAGTTCTGTTGACAGGTCAACCTTGAGCGGCTGGGGCTTGCTGGCCAGTCTGAGGGCTGAGTTCTCCAGCCTGAGCAGGTGCTCGTCTTTCTTAACGTTGGAGACTTCCTGCTCTCTACAGCTACAGCGGGCCAGCGGAACGTGGCGCACTGATTGGTCTGAGATCATGCTGCTGAAGGCATCGACTAACTGATGACTTGGTTCATATTGCCCAGAAATGCGAAAGCTCCCGAGCTTTGACTGCAGAGCCTGCAAGCGACTGGTTCGCTCCTGAGTGGAGAGTCTGCGGCTTGGCTCTGCACTGGGCTGCTCCAGACTGCTTCTCAACTCAGCAACAACGAAAGTACCGGCTTCAAAAAGAAGCCGGTTGACTGCTGAGGCGACTGAATCTGTGGCTGGAGGCTTCATGGTCTTGAGAAGCTTGTCCAGCTTGACGCTATCAATAGCGTTCGGCGCGCTGGCCACACGGAACAACAACTGAGAGTATGTCTGGATTCCGTCTGTGGCCCAGGCTGTAAGACTTTCCTCGGGCACACCATGCTGAGTGGCCTTTGCCTTGAAGGTGACTGTGGAGTCACTGACCGAGGCCATTGTCCTGCCACAGTGTGAGTGGTGGCCTGTTCTACGTACACAGGGCTGTCCTTGACTGCCTCCTTTCTTCCACGCCCTCTGCCTGCGGAAGTCTGGCACAAGCCGTGACTGAGGCAAGAGACGGCCCCTCCCGGCCTGCTTTTGCTCCGCCTGCACACAAGTGCGGCAAGCAAAAGGGCTGCAACCACAAGGTGCAGCTGGCCTGGGAGCTGAAGTGTTGCCTGGCACAAGCCGGCTGGAAGCACAAGCTTTTGAAGTGTAAGCAGTGCCTGGAGAGGTCCACAAGGACGACTGCCCAGACCCGCTAACTTGAGCCGAGCTCGAGCGTGCGAGGCTGGCACTGCAAACTGCGCTGCACAAGCAGGCTGCACACAAGTGCTGAGATTCTTTGTGGCTGCTGGGCGGCAGTCAACAGCTGAGGTCTGAAGTGACTGCAAAAGACAGCGGCCGAGACTGTGAAAATGAGGGCACACAGGTGCCACCTGGGAGATTCAGCCCCCCTGGGCTGCAGAAGCAAAACGTCCCATGTCTGCCTAGGCAGCTGTGACATGTGTTGTTGCCCGGGGCTGAAACAGGCTGCAAGACCTGGACTGCGAGGCTGTAGCGACTAGATAGACTAAGGCCGGCTAGAACGACTGAAAACGGCTGACTCACACTCACCAAGGAGGGGGGGCGTGGCTGCCTGTCGCTTCAAGCTGAGAGCACAGAACTGCCTGAGAAACGTGCGTGATGTACCTCGGCTGTCAGCGTCTGCGGTGGCTGCGACTGGACCCTGCCAGTGAGTCGTGTGGCAAAACACTTTGCGGCTAAAACCCCGCCTGGAGCATGGCAGCGAGGACAGTCATGATGGGTGTGCCACGCACCCCCCTCCTTGGTAATCGTAAGTGGCCTGGAACAGGCACAGACCCGGCATTGCGGGCAAAGGGACAGGCAAAAGCCATCAGTTTGATGGCCGTGGTCCCGGAGTGCCCTCGGTAAGCGGCTTTCACGGGCTGTGCTGAGTCTGGGGAAGGCTAAGGAGTATGGCGGCACCTCAGGCAAGAGGCCGTGCGCGCCGACTGCTGCCCATTTGGCATAGTATATGCCGGCGTTGTAGCCCACCAGTTCGCCTGGGAACGCCTGTAGTGCGACTGGGTTGGCTACGAACGGCTGGGTCGGCAGCGGCTGGGGCTGCTGAGGGGCTGGTTGCCTTAGTGGCCCCGCCACGGGACCAACTCCCCTGGTGCCTGGCTGCAAGGCTGGCTGAGGCAGTTGCACCGGTGGGTCATCGACCCGGGCTGGTGGCTGTGCCTGGGCTGTTGCTGACTGAGGGCTGTGACTGTGTCTGGCCTGCCTGAGTGACCGTCCCCTGCAAGGCAAGTGCTGCTAGCGACGGGGGGGGCGGGACTGTAGGTGCCTTAGCTGGAGGCTGTCCTGGCGGTACCTGAGTCCGGGCTGTGATCTGGGCTGTGGGCGTCTGTGGCATCGCCTTAACTGGTGGCTGGCGTGGGCCCTTGCCTGTGCCCTTCTTGCTGAGCGGCTGCGGAGTTCCCATAGCGGCCTGAGCCTGGGCTAAGCCTGGCTGCACCTGTTCGACAACCGGCGTTTGAAGAGACTGGACTGGGTCTACCGTAGCCTGTGGTGTCTGAGTCACGGGCTGCAAAACGGCTGGGACCTCAGATTGGTCTGCCCAAGACCTGACTGCCGAAGACTGGTCCTGGTCGGTGTTGCCTGTAGCATCCTGAGGCGCGTCTGAGGAGGAAGTGCTGGCCAGATGCCAGCTCGCAGTTCCCAACCCAGTATCGACTATGAAAGTCTGTCCAGAGGCTGCTGCATGTCTGACACGGCCGGACCAGTCGACTATTTGTTCAAGGCGGCCTTGGAAGTCTGCCGGCAAGTTCGACAGAGCCTCGACTAGTACGTCTGCATCCAGGCTAACCAAGGTCACCCACATGTCCTCTGCTTGATGTACTCTGTCCACCCACGGCTGTTCCTCCATGTCTGGAGTGGAGGCTGCCATGTCTGAGCACACACAAGAGAGGAGGCTATACCTGAAAATTTTCTGGCACTTTGAGCCAAAATGGACGTGACGATCGCAGTTAAAGTCTGATACATGTATGCAAGCCATATATCTATAATCTGTATATGTATATATATATATATATATGACTCTTTCTCTCTGTGTACCGCCCGACACCTTCTGAATTGGGGAGTCTCTTCAAGGCCTCCAACCTGCAACTGTCGCGAATGGAAGCAATGCCGCTGCCTGGCCGCTGCCATGGGACAGAGCGGAACTTCACCAGCAAAGGTGTGCATGCATCATGCAGGAACTCGTCACAGGCATGTCGATGTTGTAAGAGTTATGTAACTTCGCATGCAAGCACGCAACGTACACCTACCCTCACACAAACTTCAATTCCTGGACCACGGCATGGATTCATCTGCCCGTGGTTGCCAAACGCTCGCTTGGCCGAAGTTGCTGCGTGACACGGCGAGTTCCCAGTCACCGGTGCCCATCCCATCTAAGCCTCTGAGATCGAGTACATCTGTTGGTGCTACGCATGCGCACCTGCACTGCAGGTTGCATGAACTGGAAGCGCAATCTCGGGCTTGGTGACCTTTAAAGTCAGGCAAGTCGGGCATTGTGCACAGTGTGAAACGCAGAAGTTGGGTGGATCTTGGCTTGGCGTAGGCATGACAGTCATCGATCACTGCGATACTCCTAGCTCCAGGCCTCACCCCAAATCCTGGCAGTCACTTCCGAAGAACGGGGGTCACGTTCGACAGCCCCAAGACACCTGGTTCTCTACATCCGAATTAGACTCCTCGGAGCTTGTGTGGCCCTCTGTGTGGGACCACGCTTGTGGCGCCAAGCAGCCACAACATCTGGACAAACACGAACAAAAACCGAAGTAAACACTCTGACGACCAGCAAGAAAAGCAGCAACTAACATTGCGAAGAACAGGAAAATCGTTCCAAGCACCAGGGGCCACATGGACTCCCCTTTGCCCAGCGGCTTGTGCATGAATGTGGGCTGTTCCGCACGGGGCTCGAGCAGGTTGCGGCATAAGCCGCTCTCCATCTCCTGCACAATTTCCGTGTGGAGGTCCAACATGTTGTTGGACAAAATGTCCGTGATCGCTACATTCAGCGCATCGTGGTCACTTGTGGCATTGAGGACCTCACGGTAGGGTCGGGGCGGGGGTCTTGTTTAAACTGCTTGCTCGCATCGATGCTGAAACAGAACATGTTCCATGGCTAAACTCAAGGAAATTATGCCTCTCAGTGCAACGACACTGTTTACACAGATAAGCAAAGATCCACAGACTGGCAACGCGTGTTGAAACATGTTTTTTGAGCTGGAACCCGTTCAAACCGATAAAGAAATCTGAACGTGCTTGAACGACGCTGCCTCGAGGTCGAGGCCCTTGCCGAAGTGGCAGCCTCCGGGCCCGGAGCCCTCGATGGGGAAGTCCAGCAACATGGAGGCGCCGAACAATCGGGCCTTCACGTTGCCTGTCTCCTTGTAGCCGAAACTCGAGAGTCGCAGGTCATACTGGCATTCGACGTCGACCGAAATGTCTTCCACGGAAAATTGTACCAAGCCGCCCTCGGTGGACACGTGGGTCTCCTTGCCGACCCGGGCATCCTTCATGAGGATGTCGTAAATCACCTCGTGCAGGAGCTTCTCTCAAACAAGAAGCTCACAGATGAGATAACATTAAAACCCACGAGTTTCTCGTGGGTTTTAATGTGATCTCGTCTGTGAGCTTCTTGTTGGAGAGAAGCTCCTGCACCAGGTGCGCACCACTCGCCGTAGTGTCAATGGAGGCTGCTGGCGCCCCTCCTTGATTGCCTTCTATCTGGAAGGTCTTGAAAAAGGCACTCGCAGCCTTCGCCACATCCACCCGCAGTGTCGTCCCCAAGTCCTCGCTGAGGCCGCGCAGGCCGCACAGGTGTCCCGCATCAACCACTGCAGTGGCCAAGGCAAACAGCAGCCACGCTCAGGCAGCCATGGCCCGGACAGGATTGGGGGAAGTCTTCCAGAATTGCGGGTTGATGGACTCTCAGGCAGGTGGGCATGTGGGCATCTCCGCATTGTAGGTGACATCAAGCAGAAGTCACGCAAACAACTCGAAGTAGCCAAAAGCAAGGCTCCTGCGGGCGACGGTGATTGATGCTGTGCATCGTGCTGCAAAAGTGCAACTCGCTGTCCCATGTCCCGCTGCACCGGGCTATGCTCTGCTATGGCTCAAGCTCTCGCCGTGCTTGCTCAACCTCGCGAGTTTGCCACACTCCCAGTTGCTCAGCTGCTGCCTCCCGAAACAATGTAAGGCGCAAGATCCCTCTTGCTGCCTTCGACGGTCAGGGAAGCGGATCAAGGCTCCGGGCTCTAGCGTAGACGTGTGAGCGGCGGCTATTCTGTGTCCCCGAATGTAGCTGGCTTCGAACTGCTGCGAATTGCAGCCGCGCGAAAGCTGCCTTCTAAGAGCCGAGGGTGTCACTCAAGCTCCTGACGAAGCGCCGCGGTCGCAGCAGCCTAGGTCGGGAGGTTGGGAGCGAATTTCCGGTTTGGTCGGGTCTGCGAAATCCGATGACGAGCAATTTTTGTTCACCTTCCTCGCTCAGGCTGAGAGCCGCAGGCTGCTCCGTTGCCTGACGCTCGCAGAGGCGCTCGGAGCTGCAATGCTGCCGTCGAGGCTCAGGCTCTCTCCTTCTCCGGGTCCTTATCGGCCTTCCGCTTCCTGAGAGCCAAGTCTCTGCTCAGGCCTACGGAGTCTATGCGTCGAGGGGTTCAACGGGCGCGCGCGCGCGCCTGACGCCAAGAAGGCCTCGCAGGATCTCTTCGAGGGCTCCTGAAGTGCCAGCTCGTGTCGGGGCCGTGACATTGCCGTGGACATCGTGAAACAGACAACTGTCCTGTAGTGCGGCAACCTCAGTAAATACATAGGGCAACCGCCCTTCACTTCAACAACTCCTTTCTGCGAAAGCTGTCTGACAGGATCGTGCAGCCATGGGGCCACGGAGTTGCTTCGCCACTCGCTCACATGCTTCAGCTGTCTTCTTAGCTGGGCTTTGTCGCAAGCACTGTGCCAAGTTCCTGGACCATCACCCATCAGGCCGCGCTCTGTGCAAAAATGAAAAGCAAGAACGCAAGGCGGACAGCCCGGACAGCTGTCAAGTCGGCCTGTTTGGATTCGTCGGATGCTCGATAAAGAGCCTGGGTTCACGTGCACGCAATTTTAAATCAGCTTCAAAACTGGCCGTGTTGCCATCAACTGTAAAAGACTCTCTAATGCCCTGCTGTGAGTCCGAGTCCGACGACGGGCCAAGGCAAATACGATTGTTATCTGCATGCCAGAGAGCGTGGCTCGGCCATGCCGCGGACCCTTCGATCTGCTTGGCCCCAGCGATATGTGTCGCTGTCGCCGGCAGCACTTGGCAACGAACTGCAGAAACCTGCCAGCTCCGCATCTGCATCTAAAGCCTATTGAAAATAGATGCCCGGCCTGGAGAAGGTGCAAACATCAAGCGGGATGGCTTGCAGGGCATCATCACATTCCTGGCAGTCTGCGTGGTGTGTCTGGCCTTCTCACCCGGGATAAGCAGTTGTGGTAGCTGGCTCTCTGCACCTCTTGGAGGAAGGCGATGCATAAGCAAACCCAGGACACCGCATTCAAGTAGCCCGAGTAGGCGTTCAGGAGATCGTTGGTTTTCGCGAAAGCCTGAAACACGAAACTGCCAGAGCTTCTCTACTGATCCTTTCAACGGCTCCTTCGGAAGATGCCGGAATGACTCACCCCGTTGAAGGTTTCAGACCCAATTTAAACCCGGAAGCTTGCGCAAAGCTCGAGGATGCTTAAAGACGCCGCGGCACTGAGAGACAGAGAGGGACAAAAACGGTTTGCAAGGAATTGACCCCGCAGTTTCGCAAGGAGCAGGCCCTTATCGGGCGGCTGTAAGCGGGGATGACCGTTTCGACCGAGATACCATAATATTTCAGCAGCTCATCTTCGAGGTCCCAAACTTGCAATAGCCCGAAGTTGCTTACACTGACTGTCGCGGTGCAGCTCTGAGCCGTTGCACACCGTGGCCTAGTCTTGTGCTTAGCTGTCAGACCCGGCACGACCTATCGACAAGCCCGCTGGGCTAGCATTGAATTCCGCGGTCAAAGCAGTTTCGCTAAGAGATGGCACTTCCTATCAGGTACCTTGGCCAGGCAGACCATGTTCCGTACGGCAGGCGCAGCCGAATCGAGGATTGTCGCCAGAACTTTGTCCACCTCCAGATCATCTGTGAGCCCCATTGTAATGTCCACCTGAAGTTGGCGATACCACAGGCGCAGCAGTGGTAAGCTCGCCTGAGCTGGGCTGAAACTACCCGGCGGTCCGTTAACTGTTCCGTACGTTTTCGTGGATTAAGCTTGCACTGGCAGCTGTGAAAACTTGGTCAATCAGGAACAACATGGCCTAAACCTGAAGAGCTTTGCAGCCTTAGCACGGTTGCAATCAACTGATCCAGCTCGAAGGCAGTTCCATGAAGCTTCGAGAGCGCGGTGAGGTAGAGGACTTGTCTGTCCTGACGTGGCCATTCGCATTGCAGTGTTCATGGTTTAGCTACGTCGCGGGCCTTGGCCCTTACTTCAAACTGCTCGAAGGACAAGCGAACGTCGAGATCTGAGGTCTTGATGGCTGTGCCCTGTCACGGGGCGCAATATTTGCCACGTTCAGCCAGTCTGGAAATGTTAACAATCGCGATTCGTAATCGAAGGAACCCTCATCTGCTGTACCTCCCTCGCGAGCGCCCCAACGGCTCCAAGACCCTCCTGCCTTGACGTGTGTTATTTCGAACATGTCATCTGCTCTCGTGCATGCTCTAATACTGCTGTATCACGCTTAATAATTCCAGCCAACATTTGCACCATGTAGAGTTCAACCGACTGTCCAGCTTCCAATGCCTGTTTGACGAAAGAACTACAATGTGTGCATATCCCGATGCGCTCCTGCACTGTGGAGCCAAAAGCCGTCAAGACTGGCTCAGGGCACCAGTCGAACGGCTTCATCTGAAACTCGGGTCCTGAAAAGGCTTCTTTGCAAGCCTCCAGACAAGGGCAGAAGGGCGGAGAGTCTTCAGCAACACCAAAAAGAGCTCTCGCCACGCGTTCGCAGCGGGCCGCCTGCTTGAGCTCTCCAAGGCACTGCGCGCCTCGGGCTTTTTTCTACGAGATACGATCGTCCCAAGGGCATCTGGGCATCTTCATCTCAGAACAGGGAATTGAGGCTCGGGCATTTCTCACCTTGCAGAGAAGCGACACCAGACTCTCCCTATGTTGTTGCCCATTGCTGCAACATGCTGGCTCGTATCAATGTGCATGACCGTCTGATTTGGTCCTGCACGGTGCGTTGGAGGGTGCCCAACATTCAACCCCGCCCATCCGCTGAAGTAGGTTACGCGGAACCGCTGCAGTCCAGCCACGGAAAGTCTCATCTGCAAGAACGCAAGCACAAATGCTGGTGAGGTCCAGCTGAGGGCCGGCATCCTGACCACGTGCTTCCATCTACGCATTGGCTGCAGCTGATGCATCTGCCCTTTACTCACTCGATTCGCAGACAAGTCGCGAGACTGCGCGGATCATTCAACTCAGATCCTTAAGAGTGGAACTGCTCAACTTGCATCAATTGTTGGAAACGCTTTGTGACGGCAGCTTCTGCTTGAACCAAATCTCGCCAAAGCATGAAGAACACTGGAAATGGACCGACTTGGCTTCAAGACATTGCACCAGGTTGCCGGATGCGTCTGCTCCATCCTGGGTCCGAGGCATACGGCATACAACTCTTAAAGGCAGGCTCCCCGCACTCAAAGCCGACCTCCTGAGCGTCGGCCGCCTCTGAGAGGGAATCCGTGGGGTCAGGGTCGGTACTCCCCACGACTGGAGCCTCTCCTGGCGCATCGCCCCCCGCCAATACAGCATGTTACAGCATTCAAGCATGACACATGGGAAATCACATCAGCTATGTTCTTCTCTGCACCTGAGCCTCATAAGTCACAGATCACAAGATGTCATGCATCCATCATAAGCAAGGAAACAGATTCTGGGCGGACTGGGTCAGTGGTCTGGGCGGGACAAGTATAACAGGACGTGAGCTCTGAGGAAGAGTGCAAAATCATTTGCTCCCCTGACTTACGGATAACGGCATGTTCAAGCCAACTGCGGAAGCAGATGGGGCCTACACCGAGGATGTAGTCGAACAATTTCTGCAGCTCTTCAGCCTGCATAGGATGACGACGATCGTTCCTTTTCGATGTCTTTTTGCTTTGTGCGCCTGAGAACAGGCAGACATTTTTTACAAGCCACACATCAGAGTCTGGGTGTGTCGGGTTTTGGCCAAGAGTCATGCAGTGACGTGCACTCCCGCCTTCGGTAAGAGCACGTGGCATGTGTTGCAACATGTGGACTCCTTGTCTCTGGTCTTGGATCGATCTCATTGCCTGTTCGTGCAGCGGGGTGGACCGAACTACAACTACTCAAACAAAGGAAACCAAAATGCCGGCCGCGCCTTGGTGTTTGCCATACAGGTTGGGATTCCATGCTTAAGCCCAACGCCGACAACCTGATGCATCGACTGCAGCTCAAAGCCAGTATGCAATACAGTACGAGAAAGCACCTGCGACATCAGCTCAATGTTCCTGACGTTAGAACCATAGTGCTAAAGGCAACGGAGCCACTTTGAGCATGTCTTCCGAGACCTTCCGAGACGTTAAGAATCCATCAGGCCGTTCCTGAGCCCAAGAAGCTAAGCACGGGTGAGCCTGACTCATTCAGTTGGGGAAATATGAAAGTCTTACTTTCCTTTACAGAAAAAACATCCCCCCCGTATTCTCCAGTATGAACATGGCATATTCAGTTAGGTTTCGGCGTTTGGGGCTTTTTACATGTTTTTGCAGTGAAGCCTTTCCTGGCTAGGGCTCTAGGTTGTAGAACGCATGCTTCCGATACAACTTCAGATTCTGTTGTTATATGTATGATACAAAAACTAGAGCCATGACGGTAATAATAGTGGCCATACATATGACAATCCTAGCCGATGAGCGACGCAATGTTGATGATCATCACAGTAAGAATGATGAAGGTTGTCATAGTAACAGTAGCAGTAGTAGCGGTACTTCTCACCAGCACCTGTAAACGGAACAATGATGGTTCTAAGAATGAAAAGGAAAAGTTGATCGGCAATTACCAATGCGGTTGTTGCTATCAACATCACTGGCACTGCCCCTGCTCCTATGACCATGCCCAGTGGTCTCATAAGCATGACGCTATCCTGCTGCGCACATTGTGCGTAGATGGCTTATATACGAAGATTTGACTGCCGTCGCACGGATATGATGACCAATACTAATACTAATACTGGTACCAATACCAACATTAATGTTAGCATTATTTGTAGAAACACCCCCCCATCCTAATGCCGATGCTAATACTAATACGATAATGGTAATACGAATGCCAACACCAATGCCAATACCAATACGAATGCAAATACCTCTACTACCACTACTACAACTGCAACAACAACTGCTGCTGCTTTTGCCCTACTCCTACTCCTCTTCCTACTCCTACTCCTACCCCTACTCCTACTCATGCTGCCGCTACTACTACTCCTACCCCCACACCCATGCCCACGCCTACTCCTCCTCCTACGACTACAGAACGAAACACATATGGTGTAGAGAGAGAGAGGCAAACGTTGTGCGTGGCAGTCAGCGCTACCCATACTGGTCTGTTATCGTGGTCCTATACACATGTTGCTAGCAATAATGGTCATTGCTAATACACTGCTGCTGCATGTTGCTATTATCACTGCGCTTACTACGTACGACATCACTCTGAGGTACCGCTTCCGCAACGTTGAGTGCAGCGACGATCTCGTCAGCACGCTTCCGTTCCTCAGTTTCTCTGCCCTCCACGAAGATGGCCAACTCGCTGCTACAGTACAGAAGTCCTCCTGCCCCGTATGTTGCAGAAGCTGGCCCGGCATATGGGCACCGAGTTGCGTAGCCACCGGCCATTTTCTCGACGAGCTCTTTGTAGGTTTCGAGAGCTGTGGAAGAAACCACAAGCCGCCTTCCCCCGAGCATGGATGCGAGCTGCTGCAGGACAGGCTCCTGGCAAGTCACGTCGCCCAAATTTCCACCATTGAAGAGGACTCAGACGAGGACGGGCCTTGGCTTCCATTGCGGCCTGTTGTCGGGAAAGCAGGCTCGCGTGGGCTCCCAAGCTTCTCCCAGCTGATCTGCCTGCTTTTCGAGCTCTGCATCTTTGAAGGTCCAGCCGACCTTCGCCCACAGCTCTATGATTCTATACATTCAGTTCAGACACTGGCCCCCTGCGGATGCGAACCTCACGAACTTACTGCGGCCAAAACACTTGTCCATGAGACAAGTTTGAAGTCAATGCGATCAGAGTGGTCGTGTCCAGGTTGATGGAACCTGCTGTTGTCCTGACACATCACTCAACACGGCCCAGACTCATCAAAACATTGCAGCTCGCATGCGGAGGGAGGGCGTGTGTCGCATGAAAGTCCTTGACGGATCTTGTGGCGGCACTGCGCCCTCCGCGACATCAATGCCGAGTTCCGACACAGCTGCTGCGAGAGATGGCGGCAAACCCCCAAAGAAGCGGAAGCACACCATCGGCCTAGGAAAAGCTGACAGCTCTTGGCAACAACTGGGGGGTATAGTACAGAATGACAGAAGTAATTAATGGTCATCATTTGGGTACGGCACCCCACTCAGAAATAGTTGAATAATATTCATAACAGAGATATATTGGACCTTAATAATAGCCGTATTATAGACTATTACTGTATGGGGGCAGTACCCAAGTCATCATGCTAGCAGTCCAACAAAGGCAAGGACCGTGACAACAATGCGTTCTACCAGAAACAAGACAGTATCAAGTTCTGAATATGGTTATTCCTTCCGAAGACCTGTTCATGCGCACTTAGCACTTGGTTTTAGGAGACTTTCGCTTCGGCGTTTACAAGGCTCTCTTCTCTTTTTTCTATCCGCCACAAGTGTTGGTTGGGAACTCCTATCAGGCGGAGGCTTCTGTGCTGTCTGACACCCTCGGGGATTCGACCACCCAACACCACGCGACACCCCAACTATCAGCACTGCAACACTAAACAGAACTGGTATTTTCAGATTTCAGGATTCGGATGTATCGGTGCACGCAGGGCTTTTGCACTTCGAGGGGTTCCGGGGAGGTATTTCCGTCATGTCCGAAGTTCCTCTGACAAATAATTGATTTCCGCTTCTGAGAGCTGTAAGCTCCTGTCAGGCGCTGAAACGTTTCCACAAAATGCTGACCAAAAAAACTGAAAAAAAAAACACACAACACAACGCAAAGAAACACATGCACATCAGCAAATGCCGTGCCTGCCACGGTTTTAGAAGATACCACCATCGATGCCACTCAAGAAACAGCTTGAAAACTGTATTTCATGTATTTCTGTGTTGCGTTTGCGCCTACGATAAGCCGTCTGCGTAAAACTCATAATTTCCTCGGGTTTTTGTCCGTACGCACGACATATATGACCTCCTCATGCACTGAAAGACCTCCGCGTCCTGGTTTTTACGATCGCATATTTCCTATTTTTAGCACTGTCTTCATTTCTTATTGTTCTAGCAACGTGCAAAGCGCAAAATCCTCGAGTTTTGGGCACTTCCTGACAAAGGTCCCCCCGTTTGCAGTCCGAGCAAAACACTCTACGTTGGCATTTTCGTGGCTTCAACTTACTCTTGCTGGCACGTGCGCTAGCGCGTTTTGACGCAGAAACATGACATATCCACACCCAGGCATATCAACAAATGTTTGCGGTTTTTGGTATTTGCAGTACAAAATGCTTGCCTGTGCTGCCACGCGCGCGTGAACAGCGATGCGAGGCATGATAATTCTGATTACGAACGACAGTAAATACAAACGATCTAACTTACGAATAGTAATTTCGATGGCATTGCTAGTAGCGGGTGGCAAAAAGAACGTAACAGCAAGTTTTAGCAATAGCAGGGCGCAAGATGATTCCAAAACTTGCGTTGCATCCTGTGGTAACCATCAAAAGCATGGCAAGATACTGTACCTCTTGCGATTTAGCTGCGTGGCATCTCCGATGATATTCATCTTGGCGATGTGAAGACAGGATTTCGCCAGATCCAGGATGTGGTCATGCTCCAAGCGGTGCTGGGATCGAGCGAAGCACTTGATCCAAGCGACTGCGCCTCCGGCCAGGTCTCTCGGTATCCCAAACTCTGAGTCCGACGCAAGCGCTCAAAAATGCTCCCTGGCCTGTTGCCAAGCCGGCAGTGACTTCGAACGTCACTTGGGCGTCGTCTGCACTGAAACGTCTCAGGACGCCACAGGCGACCACAGAATGGCACATCTCAACAATAGCCTGGTAGTAGGGCAGGTTGCTGCACTCCATTGCCTTGCATGCGCCAGTGCTTGTCGGGCAGCAGCTGCCAAGATATGAAAAGAAGAACGGACATGCGACCAGAGACACAGAGAGGGCGCCGTCCTCTGCACAGTCCTGCTGTTTGTCCTTCTTCTTTTGGACGGCCTTACGGCACCAAAGGCTGGCGAACGGTGCAACGGTTCAACAGGACACAGAACGTGTTCCCGAGTCGCATACTGCCATCTCTGACCGAACATAGCGCAAGAGCCTTCCCTTGTTCTGAATCCGCTTATCCAGACCTAGCAGTGGGATGGGGGAACATGCGCATAGCAAGTATGTGTCGAAACAAGTCTCCTGGTCCAATCTGAGACAAGCACGCTGCACAGCCTTCACGATCTTGGCTGCCCTGGCTTCTAGATCATCGAGCCCGTCGGAAGACATAGACTTTGGCCAAGGACATTGGTCCTGTGCATACAGGCACTGACTCTCTCTTGATTGCCAGTTGCGTGTTGGGGCCCGCTCTATCTCGATGCGTGTCTTCACATGAAGCTGCAGAGACTTCGGTCCGGCAAAGTCCAGTGCTGCCGCTTCTTCACATGTATTGGCGCTGCACGTTTTGCATCGCGTAAGTCTACTGAGCCTAGGCTAGCCTTTCTTGCATAGGCTTGCTGAGACAACGAGATACTTACCAGGCTTCGGAGTCGGAGAATTCGAAGGAAAAGCCATTGTAGTGCCGAGTGAACAAGCGCTGATCTACACTGTGCCTGTACACAAAGCAGCTGCAGAATATGGTGTAACAGTGAAAGCTCAGTGATCTGGCAGTGGTATCACATTTCCAAGCTATGCTTTCCGTTCGGAAGCCTGATTCCTTGGCAAACTGCAACGTGACGTCAAGTTTGGGTCTGCTCACTGAGCAGGCAGCGAGGGTATGCTCGGCGAGCTTCCGCTGAAGCTCTGCCTGAGCAGTGAAATCGAAAATCGCGTGGCCGCCTGGAGCAGGTGCTCATGTCATCACATGGCCTTCCGCGTCTGAAATACACCCTGTTCGAGACCCAGCATTTGGACGCACTAAGTCAAACATTCCCGCTGCTTGCTGAGGAGTTTGGGAGCTTTCTAAGGCCCCATCTGTTCGCTTGCGTTCAGCTTCCAGCTCTCTCTTAGAGGGGCGTAGTCACAAACGTTCCACAAAGGCTTATAGCAATAATCACAATTATGTCAATAATAGTTCTCACGATACAAAATATCATTCAGGGTCGTCACCAGATTAGCTCGGTGGTTTTTTATCATAGCAGTTTTGATTCTTTATCCGCTGTCCTTACGTATGCTCCTTTCCCTACTAAACTATGGCATCTTTACAGAGTGGCCTGTACATGGAGGAAACCTTGTATAGTGCATGCGCAATGGTTGGGGATCTAAGCTGGCCTCATGGTTTAAGCCACAGGGTTTTTCGTCTGGGTTCCGGTTCGGTGCGGCTCCGGCAAGCTACTGCCAACATAATCATCACAATCCACATCTACAAACCCACCATCTGACTCCTTCATCCCCTCAGAACCTCTGTCCTGTGGCTCTGATATCGATGCTTTCTCACTTCAGCACAGTTTCGCCGGCAAGCCGTGCTTCTGAGACCGGCTTGGCATGCAGACAAGCATATTTTGACGACATGCGGTGCGACGACAGCCTCTCCTGTGATACATGCTTGCTACTGCAGTCTACAAGCCATCATGCGACCTGCCCCGCAGGTATTTCACTGTATTCTTTCGTGTTACAAAGTCGTCGCTGTTTCTTTCGGCCAGTTCGCGTACTGCAGAAGATTCAATGTTTCCAGTTCCGTCCCTGTTATACCCATCGAATGCTCCGGCATGGCCTGCTGCTTCCAAGCCTGGCACTCGGTGATTGCCTCAGTTGTCTTGCTCAGTGCAGAATCCTCGTGATTGTCGTGACCTGGTGGCCTGACGTTCAAGCCTATTTGGCCCCGGGCACTTTGAAACCGCTGTTGCTCAGTCTCAAGCTGCACCTCCACCAAAAAGATACTTCGTGAGTGTGCTAAGGCTCCAGCACGGCACCGCTTCAACAGTTGTAAATCGACTCTCGATCCCGGTCATGCTTGAACTCGACCTCCACGGAGAGGTCTTCGACAGAAAATGTGACGAGTCCGCCGTCGTTGGACACGTGCTTTCCGACGCCGACCTGGGCGTCCTTCATGGCGAGGCCAAAGAGCCGGCCCGATTAGACCCACCCCTTCTGCGTTCGATTCAACCTAATTTGCTCCGTCAGCATTGCGTCGGACAGGAGCTCTTGCACCAGACCAGGTGAGCACCAAGTAGCCACGCCAAGGCAGCCGTTCGCTTTCAGTCTCTCGGAATGTTCCGGGGAATGGTTCCAGAATTTCGAGTTGATGCACTCCCAGACTCTCAGGTGGGCATGTCCTCGTGGCTGGTGGAATCGAGCCAAAGCCCCACAAATCACTCGAAGTAGCCACAAGCGAGGCTCCTGCCCGCGATGGTGCGCATGGTGCAGCTTGCGCCTTTCTGCCATCTCGCTGCACCGAGCTGAAACCCAACAGCATTTTTGGCGACGACATATCAACCTGTGGAAGACGAAAACGGCCGCAGAATGTACACTTCGGGGGCTGGCCGTTTCCCAACATGCGACATGTGCATGCGCACTTCATTTTCGGCAGCATTGGTAATCGAAGGTCCCGCATGCAATCATGCTTCCGTACAATGTCCTTCTCCCTGTATGCTGCATGAAAGGCACTTGCGACTTGCAAGGGGCTTGGGTAAAAAGCCGAAAACGGACACCAACATTCAACCTCTGCTTGAACAGCCGCTTCAACAATTGCGACATCAAGAACCTGCCCGATGGCATGCCTAAACGAAGATGCGTGGTGCCGTCCGCAGTCCGCTTCGAGTTTGCCACCGTCGCAGGACCCGCAAAACGTGGCTTCGCCAGAAAACATGCGGAAAGGTGACACATTGACATGAGTCGTGTGATACAAACCGTGTCAGCCAGTCTTTGACTGATTTGCTCTTAAGCAGTCTGATCTTGCAAAGCTCTGCCAGGAGGTCGAATTACGGGAAGATCAACTTGAGACAAGATTCACAGCCTGACAGACAGCAAGCAGAAGACTGTTGAGATGCAATAACACATCACGTGAGGCTCCGCCCTCCAGGGCCCTTGAGCCTTCCAGGCCGAGCACCGCGAGCTCAGGTCTGCCTGGGAACGGGAAACCGGGAAACCGAGCCCCCCGAATCGGGTTTGAGACTTCGGGGGCCGGCGGCACAGGGCCTGCCTGCCTGGCCTGGGCTATGTTGGGCTTCGCTGGGCTATGCCGGGCTCGCAGGGCTTTGGGCCTTCTCCAGTTGCTCAAGCTCTCGCCGTGCTTGCTCAACCTCGCGAGTTTGCCACAGTCAGTTTCAGCCTCAAGTCTTCTGATGGGCACTGGCACGGGCCTGGCCACGCAGTGAGCTGTTGAGGGACTGCAAGGCAGCCTAAGAAAGGCACAGCTTTAGGCACTCGTCTTCTGATATTATGGTCTAAGGATTGGCACCTTGGCACTTGAAAGCTTTGCCTTCGCCGGTTGTGCATCAGGCATGCAAGGGGAATTCAGGCGGAAAGCTGCTGCGGCAAAATGTTTTTCAGCTGCGAAGCCTTCTGACCCACCTCACTCGCATCGAATTCCTCATGCGAGAGAGATCGAATCTTATAAGCTTCCCGTTTGTCGATTCCCAAACCTACATCCTACAAGTTTCGTCCTGGATCATCTCTTTGTACATCCGTGTTTGCTGACGCCTCAGGATGCGATCATTTGCGATCTGAGGGTCGGACAATCCGCGCTCATTGCAGGCTGTGCTGAGATGCTGACGCTGCCAGGCTTTCCAGCATCAAGTGTCGGACTCTCTGCCTCAGAAACTCCCAATCTAGGGAAATTAGTTGTTCATGATATGTCTGATGGGTGACAATTCGCTCCAAGCTGTGACAGGCACCCTGTTAACACCGCGTCATCCGTTCGAGCCCACATCTTTCCGTCGAACTCAGCAGGTTTGCGAGTACTCAAACGGCAGAGCTGTAGCCATCGCAACTTCTGTCGGGCTGGGACCTCCCGGACCCGCGGCTCTCTGCCTCGCTTGAGCAGGACGGCTTCCTGGCCAGGAAGCGCTGACACTGCATCAGACTGCTTCAGGATGTTTCAGGATGCGTTCGACAAGTAGCCGTGCTAAATCTCTGTGCAGGCCACACTCGTGAATATACGGCGTGACGTGTAACAACTCCATCCATGTCGGGGAAGACCGAGGAAACCTTGCAGTGAGCATGGGGTCTGCGACATCAACTCATGCCACCCCTTGCATGATGTTGCCAAACTGTTTGGGGAAAAGCAGCTCTCTGAACAGGCTCGGAGAGAAACGTCGGACATTAGCAATTTTTGACACCGCGTAGCGTACTGACCGGAGTGGTTCTCGCGCGGGAGAATGGTTTAATGATTCTCCATGTGCAAGGCTGAAGATTTGCGGCGCTAACTTGTCCGCAAAGTAGTGTCTCGTATTTCTGGTGGAGTTCGAACTTGGTGCTGTCCTGCTAGCATGTAGCTCAGGCTTCTTTTGTAAAGTACGTGGTCAAACCTTTAGGGGCCTTACGCTTAGCATTGAAGAGATTAGGTAGGTATGCGCGGCAGGCGTGCCCTGCGTTCCGCGGATCCGGCTGTCGCGTGGAGAACCTTTTCGACGCAGTCGGAGAAGCTTCAGCAACTGTGCCGGAAGTGAATTTTCTGCCCATCAGGGATCGACAAATCGTCGCCGAGGTCACTTGTCCCTTGCCAGGTTCTCGCCCGAAACAGAAGATGCACATGTACTCACGGAACGATTGAAATCCAGAATACGGCCTCTACATTTATGCACCCGCAGCTCTGAAAGGCAGGTGCGGGGGAGGTGCTCTGATGCTGTGGGACCAGTGTTGACATGGCATCCACCACAAACGTGTCCATCGTGGAGGTGCAGAGAACAACCTACAACCCAGTCGCACAGTTCAGTCGTCACAGCCGCAGGTCCAAGAAGCCAAAACCGACGATTGCTCGCGGCATGCCATCACGGAAAGGGGCCAAGGGCCATCCCTGTGCGCCGTGCTGCACGAAGTGCTTGCAGAGTGTCTGCAGGGAAACCTTGCAAATCATGCAAGGCCAGAAGAGCTTCGGAGTCCTGCATTGCGGAACGCTTGGGCGACTTGGCCGGCCGCACATCCTCAAGGACGTCGTGGGCATACGGGAAGGCATCGGAAGGTCAAACCGTGCCAATGCACTACATGGCAAAACCAAAGACTGCAAAGTCTGCACCATTAAAGAACGAGCAGAGTTCACGAGCCTCAGATGGTGCTGCCTTCAAAGGAATGGGTGCTGGCCTGCAAAAAAGGAACACCCAGTTGTGGATTTCGGAGTTGTGCCGGCTTTGCACACCCTGTGACGGAATCAGTGCGAACATGCCTGGCGGATCCCAGGCTCTTGGCCTCCTTTGCCTCAATGCGAGAACCATTCTGCCAGACATACGCTATGTTCTGCACAACTCAGCAGCAGCCGCTGAGGTAGTGGTAGTGGGAGTGGGACTGGGAATGGGAGTGGTAGGGGTGTGGTAGTGCTAGTGCTAGTGCTAGTGCTAGTGCTGGTGGCAGCGGCAGCGGCCGCGGCAAAGGCGGCGGCAGCTAGTGGCAGTGACACGGCCGTGGCCGTGGCAGTGGCGGTGGGGGTGCAGTGGCAGTGTCTGTGGTAGTGACAGTTTCAGCGGTGGCAGGGGTAGAAGCAGAGTTTCGGTAGTAGCAGTAGCAGGAGCGGTAGGGGTAGGGGTAGTGGTAGGGATAAGAGTTGCAGCAGCAGCAGCAGCAGCCGCCGTCGTTGTCGTGGTCGTGGTCGTGGTCGTGGTCGTGGTCGTGGTCGTGGTCGTGGTCGTGGTCGTGGTCGTGGTGGTGGTGGTGGTGGTGGTGGTGGTGGTGGTGGTGGTGGTGGTGGTGGTGGTGGTGGTGGTGGTGGTGGTGGTGGTGGTGGGGGGGGCGGCGGCGGCGGCGGTCGTGGTGGTGGGGTGCTGGTGGTGGTAATCGTACTGGTAGTAGTGGTAGTGGTACTGGTACCAGCACTGGTACCAGGCCTAGCCTAGTACAAGTAACTAGCACTAGCAGCAGCATTAGCAAGAGCAGTAGTAGCAGCAGCAGTAGCAGTAGCAGCAGCACCAGCAGCAGCAGGAGCAGAAGCAGTAGCAGCAGCAGCAGCAGCAGCAGCAGCAGCAGCAGTGGCGGTGGCAGTGGCTGTGTTAGTGGCACTGGCAGGGGGAGTAGGAGCAGTAAACATCAATATCAGCAGTACCAGCAGGAGGAGCTGCGACATACGCACCGTCATCCGTCACCATTATCCTCACTCTTCATCCTCACGCCTCATATGATGCTGTTTCCCGGTGAAGCATGTTGTGCTCGTGCTGTGCTAGCTGCTGGGTCCCGAGCCACAGCAGTCTCGAGCTTCGCGTTGACAGCCGAAACCTGCCAAGTCTTGACCACTCGCAGGAATTCAAGAGGAAGGACTCAGGCAGCAGCCGGCGTTCAAGCTCTGCATTTGAATCCCGCTCCCGCCTGCGCCAACTGCTTGGCAAGGTCGTCCTGACCCCAGGAGGCAATGAACGAAGCTTGAAGACTGACGCTTGACCCTAACGAAAAGCAGCCCGGCAACCCCTCGTGACTCTCCTGATTCGACGTGACGCGTCCGGACTCCAATGTCGAGCGCATCTCACGCATCTGGTAACCCAGCTCCTGCGGCAGTGGGGCAGGGCCCGAGTCAGAAAACAGAGTCAAAAACAGGTGGGCAAGGGTCAGCAAACAAGCCGGACGCAAGTCGCAAACACCAGAGACCCAGTCAGAAAAGCTGAGGGCCAGGGACGGAGGCATCCCGGCGCGAGACTGCAAACATCGAGATCGACGCCAGTCCGTTTCCGAGGGCAGCGAAACGAGCGGGACGTTTTCCTGCCGAGCGCCAGTCGGAATCGACAAATGAGGGGGCGTGTTTAAGCTGTATGATGAACGGGAATCGCCACATTCGGGGGCGTGCTTCAGATATATAATGATCCGCAATCGCCAAATGAGGGGTGTGTTGAAGATATGTGATGAACCGGGAAGAATCGGCCCTGCACCTGATTGAGATATGTGATGAACCGGAATCGCCAAATGAGGGGGGTGTTCAAGATATACGATGATTCCGAATCTTCAAATGAGGGGTCCTACTTGGGAAATATGATGAATCGGCCCTGAACCTGCTTAAGATACATGAGGAACCGGAATCCCCAAATGAGGACGCGCGCTTAAGATATATGAAGAATCGGAATCGCTAAATCAGGGGGCATGTTTAAGATACATGATGAACCGAAATCGCCATATGAGGGAGCGTGCTTAAGATATTTTATATGATGAACCGCAATCGCCGCGCGAGGGGGCGTCTTTAAGATGTATGGTGAGTCCGAATCGCCAAATGAGGGGGCCTGATTCAAATACAGGATAAGCCAGAATTTCAAACTGGTTTGGTCGCCCAAATCGTTGACAGGCCATGCCCTTTCAAGTGAGTCGTAGTGCATGATCTGTCATCGGATGGGTGACGATCAGCCCTCCCAAAATCATTCCAAAATGTCTAAATTCTCTCCCCTAACTTTCCGCATTTCCAAAATTTCCAAAATTTCCAAACTTTCGATATTTCTTCAATTTCCAAAGTTTCCAAAATTTCAAATTGTTCCGAAAATTCCAAACTTTCCAAATTTTCAAGCACTGAAGTCTTGAAACTTTGGAAAGTTCAGAAAAATTCTGAAGTTTCTGAAATTCTGAAAGCTGGGAAACGTTGAACAATTTGAGTCGGAAACTTTCACAAACTTGGAATTGAGTTACTTTTCTATCACTATTCAGAATAATTAAGGTATCGAACAGTTCAATTCAATAGAAGACGTCCTGAATTTCTGATTTTCTAACAGGAGTTCTATGCTAAGGCTAGTATTTGTATCATCACAACTTTTACAAATACTACTTCTATTGCTACCATTCTCTTGCTATTCTTGGTATTAATCACCAGGTTGATCAATAAAACACCAATACTCCCACTATCAAAAGATAAACCTTGTCAAGCCCTTGAATTGTTTGAATTATCAAGCTTGGATAGGGGTTAAAGTGTTTTAGGGCGAGAGAGAGAGAGAGAGAGAGAGAGAGAGAGAGAGAGAGAGAGAGAGAGAGAGATGGCAGCTGATAGCAAAATATATATGTATATATATCAGGATACATATATATATATATATATATCAGTATTGCAAAAATTATACTATCTTCGTTTTTCGTTACCATGCTCCGGTTCTAGATTTGTTCCTTATTTCCATTTCTCTCAATTTCAGATTTACTAATTAAACCAGTTAGTCATTTCACTGTTTCTCCGTCCTTAACTCTTATTCGGTTAATTGGTTTAACCCTCACTTATGATGCCTCACTTTATTAACCCTATCCGTTTTCTAACCTAACGGATATGTTCACGTTTTGTCACTCACATCAGTAATAATAGATTTATGTACATATACATATGCGTATCCTCGTTGTAGCTATATGTATATAAAAACTGATTGACATTCAGAATTATATTACTAGTATTATAGTACTGATAGTAATAACGGTTTAGTGCAGTTCAGTATTGCTATATCAAAAAAGAGTTGAAATACACCAATAATTCTCATAACATGTTTACTCCTTTCAACATCAGATGAGCAATTGAAACTCACTACTATACCCAAACAAGCACAAAGGCTACTCTAAAATTGCAACCGTTGACATAGCGGTGAGACCACTAGAATGCCTATTCCAATATATATTCCAAGGGAATGCATTCACAAACAGTGTTAGATATAGATATATCCAATATTCGTAATTTCAATTTGCGTAATATCAGCCTGTATTGTAGTAGTAGATAATGCTAACATCTAGGGTACGTGGTAGTAATACTAGTAGTTGTAGTAGTACTGAGAACAGAAAACATAAGCCCTCATGCATTCAAATTGATAAGAGGGGAAGAGAAGGAAGGTATATCTAAACACTCAGCTAGATAAATAATAGAACATGATGAATAATACTAATCAGTCATAATCAGAATATGACGAATAGTAACAGAAGTAGTAGTAGTAGTAGTAGTAGTAGTAGTAGTAGTAGTAGTAGTAGTAGTAGTAGTGTATAGGCCGTTTTTATACACGAAAGAGTTCTTCATTACGATAACGGTGGTAGAAATATGTGTCTGTGTAAAAACTGAAACTATCAGTGTTAAGAAGTTCGAAGATTAGTAATAAATGTCAAGAGCTACATATCACAAACATGTTTCAATCAAGATGGACTCGCGTCACCTCTGGATTATTACTTTTCGTGCATAAGATTACTCTCGAATACAAAAACTGAAATTAAAACGACACAACAATCCCTCAACCCAACACCCGAAACCTGAACCCTAAATCTAAACCCTATAACATACGAGCAGCTTAGCTGCGTTTTTGCTAAGGGTTTGCGTGTCACAGGAGCCGACCTCAGCCGAGTCACCTGCCAGGAGTACACTGTGTCTATATTGCAGTCTGTCGTAGGAGAGGGAGGGGGAGCATTGGTTTCTATGGGCTTATGTTAACTGTGTCTAAATTTCACTTATTACCCCCAATGCGGGGGCGCGTGTTAGATATGTAATATATCGGAATCGCCAACTGAGGCGGCATGTTTAACATAGATGATGCACCGGAATCGCCGCATTAGGGGACATGTTTAACACATATGATGAACCGGTTGAATCGCTCCACAAGGGGGCGTGCTTAACATATGATGAACCGGCATCGCTAAATGAGGGGGGGCGTGATTAAAATATATGATGAACCGCCATTGCCAACTGAGGGGGCTGTTGAAGATATGAGGAACCGCAACCGGAACCGCCCAATGAGGACGCGCGCTTAAGATACATGATGAATCGGAATCGCTAAATGAGGGGGCATGTTTAAGATACATGATGAACCGAAATCGCCATATAAGGGAGCGTGCTTAAGATATATAATGAACCGCAATGACAAAATGAGGGGGCGTGCTTAAAATACTTAATGTAACGGAATCGCCAACCGAGGGGGGGTGTTCAAGATATATGATGAATCCGAATCGCCAAACCTGATCTTCTTATCCGGCCAACGTCGAACGCTTCTCGAAAGGGGCCTCTATTTGTGCTGAACGGCTGCTGCAAGTGCCCCTGTCTACCCACCTCGAGCTTGCTCTCCACGTGTCTCTGAGATGCTTGAACGGTGTCCTGCAACATCCACGCACTGCCTGGAGTACGCCTTACGCAGGAATGCAATGGCCTGCTGACGCTGCAAGAGCTTTGTGTACTCTAACTTCAGCTGCTCCACCTCCGCATGAAATCCAAGACGACGTCACTCGATGAACCCGGTCAAGCTTTGCTTAAGTTCCAGGCACGGCGGCGCTCTTCCTCCAGCGAAGCCTTTGCAAAGCAAATATAATCATGCTCCTGCACGTGAGCCTGCAAAGCCGGCTGTTGCGCAAGGCAGCACTGCATGACTGACCCCGGAAGAAACCGTCGCCGCTGCTCTGTATAGCAGTTGGCTCTGTCAGACTGAAGCCTTTTGTCTTAGTGGTAAGAATTCAGGCAAGCAGGACTCGACGCTGCCCGCTGCCTTGGCAGCGCTTGCTCGGCTCTCGAGCTGCAGCTCCACCTGTGCGGGAAACTAGGCTGTGGCGTCCAGCCGTCTTAACCCGCTAGGACCAAAAAGCTCGCTCCGGTCTTCTGAAGACACTGGAAAACACACAAGTATGGCAAAGCTTTCACAGATTGCAGTAACATCATCACAGTCGCTGCCATCAACCATCGTCATCGTCATATGACCAGCATCAGCATAAACAGCAAGCATCATCTCCATCGCGAGCGTCGTCCTCACCACCGTGATCGAAAACATCAACATCAATATCAGCAGTAGCAGCAGGCGGAGCTGCGTCATACGCACCGTCATCCGTCACCATTATCCTCACTCTTCATCCTCCCGCCTCATATGATGCTATTTCCGGGTGAAGCATGTTGTGCTCGTGCTGTGCTAGCTGCTAGGTCCCGAGCCACAGCAGTCTCGAGCTTCGCGTTGACAGCCGAAACCTGCCAAGTCTTGACCACTTGCAGAAATTCAAGGGGGGAAGGGATCAGGCAGTAGCCAGCGTTCAAGCTCTGCACTTGAATCCCGCTCCCGCCTGCGCCAACTGCTTGGCAAGGTCGTCCTGATCCCAGGAGGCAATGAACGAAGCTTGCAGACTGACGCTTGACCCTGACGAAAAGCAGCCCGGCCACCCCTCGTGACTCTCCTGATTCGACGTGACGCGTCCGGACTCCCATGTCGAGCGCATCTCGCGCATCTGGTAACCCAGCTCCTGCGGCAGAGTTTGTGCTGAACGGCTGCTGCAAGTGCCCTGGTCTACCCACCTCGAGCTTGCTCTCCAGGTGTTTCTGAGATGCTTGAACGGTGTCCTGCAACATCCACGCACTGCCTGGAGTACGCCTTACACAGGAATGCAATGGCCTGCTGACCCTGCAAGAGATTTGTGTACTCCAACTTCAGCTGCTCCACCTCCGCATGAAATCCAAGACGACGTCACTCGATGAAACAGGTCAAGCTTTGCTTAAGTTCCAGGCACGGCGGTGCTCTTCCTCCAGCGAAGCCTCTGCGAAGCAAATATAATCATGCTCCTGCACGTGAGCCTGCAAAGCCGGCTGTTGCGCAAGGCAGCACTGCATGACTGACCCCGGAAGAAACCGTCGCCGCTGCTCTGTATAGCAGTTGGCTCTGTCAGACTGAAGCCTTTTGTCTTAAGAATTCAGGCAAGCAGGACTCGACGCTGCCGGCTGCCTTGGCAGCGCTTGCTCGGCTCTCGAGCTGCAGCTCCACCTGTGCGGGAAACTAGGCTGTGGCGTCCAGCCGTCTAAACCCTCTCGGACCAAAAAGCTCTCTTTGGTCTTCTGAAGACACTGGAAGACACACAAGTATGGCAAAGCTTTTCTAAGATTTGAATAGTGTGAGCGCCTGTGTGCGACATGCAACACGTGCAGTTGAAAATCTAAGCCCGCAATTCCCTGCAATCCATCCATAGATGTGGCTGTGCGAAGCGCACCTGCCGAGCAGACTCGATTTGCCTGCGCAAGGCCTCGTTGAGAAAACGGCATCGCTTCTGGTGCCCAGAAAATGCAACTGGTTCTAAACTAACTGCTGCCGTGCATGAGCTTCCGGTGGTGGCGACGACGCCTTAATGTAGAACGACCCTATAGAGCCAGCATCTTGCCTGGTCCGCATGAGTGGCATCCTCAGAAACGACAGTCTGAACGACAGCGCGACCTCAGCCCAGCGAAGCTTCCACCCGTGCAATCGATTGTACTCATTAGCATTAGCAGCGGTCTCAGACGTATGTGAAAATTGTGTGGGTGCATATGCATATGCTATATATATATATATATATATATATATATATATAATATATATATATATAATATATATATATATGTATATGTGGGTGGGTGGGCGTCTGGTGTTCCCGTCCCCCCTAACTGGTATAGTCTGGTAGGGGCCGGGGAAGGACTGGCAGGTGCGGCGAGAGGTCGGGGCCGTTGGAGCTGCAGCTCGAGTGGTGGCGTCACAGAGAGGGACAGATCGTAGGCAAGCCATGTGCAAGCCATAAACCCTTCGACGTAGTGCAGTAGCGCAGGCTCCAGTTGCCATTAACCTTAACCGGTACCTCAAACCCTAAACAAAACCCCAAACCCCACCTAAATGCAGGCTCTAAGCCTAAAGCAGAACATAAACCGTCAACGCGAATTTACACCCCAAACACTCCCTAAGCCCTTGTCGACTCGAAGCCTTGTACCTTTTACCCCTAAACCCTAAACCCAAAACTCAAAAGCTTAAGCTAAACCCAAAAGCCCAAAGCCGCGACAACCACCCCAAAGGGGGGAAGAGGGACCACACACCCCACCCCACGGGGAGCGTGGCATCCTGGACCACAGGGGGGGGGGGGCGGAGCGCATGACCATATACATACACATATCAGAGAATGTGCTGGTACACAGCGTGCAGCTACTCCGGTTACTCAAGCAAGCAACCAAAAACCTTGGGCTGCTGCGTTCACTTTCTGCTGCATCAAGTCTGGACTGGGATTCCTGGACCTTCGCCTGCACCGCAGCAGTCAAGGCCACCAACCAAAGCAACGAAGTGCCGTAGCAAGATGCTGCCAAATGCAGCATTACTATCGCAGACTTGAAGACGTCATCCTTTCTGAAAATTCGAACTTTTTTGTTGCTGTTTCAAACCGCAACATTTCCTCACTCTGCTACATAGTGAGCTAGGTTACACACTCACTCACCACTGTCTTTGCTAAAAATGTACCCAGCCAGAACCGCTTTCTGCAAAGTTTAAATGAACTAGACTTCATGCAATGCAATACTGTGTTAACATGTGGTGTATGCATGCCACTGGAAGACGGTGCTTTCATGCCTATGTGCGTGCTTGCTTGCCTGCCTGCTTGCTTACCTTGCGCAGCTTGCTTAGCTTGCGAAGCAAACCCCGAAACCGATTAAAACCAATACACAACCGCCCCGATTGAGAATGCGAAAATAATTACCCACCGACAATCCTCATCCGTCAGAATGTTCGCAGGGTGCTATAGGCTTTCCGCCAGAAGATCAGAAAAATCTTCGCGCGGTGCACTGAAGAACTGTTCCAGCTGCTTCATACCCTGCTCAGAGCCGTCTTTGCTGGCCATGGCCTCTTCGGAGATGTGAGAAGCAGCTACCAGTCCCGTCCCTCCGGCGTGGCCTGCTGCTTCCAAGCCTCGCATTCGCTAATTGCCTCAGTTCTCTTGCTCAGTGCAGAATCCTCGCGATTGCCGTAACCTCGTGGCCTGACGTTCAAGCCTGCTTGGCACCGGGCACTTTGAAGCCGCTGTTGCTCAGTCTCAAGCTGCACCTTCACCAAACAGATAGTTCGTGAGTGTGCAAAGGCTCCAGCTCGGCACGACTTCAACAGTTGTAAATCGACCATCGAGCACCTAATTCGTCTCAATCACAAACCTTCACAAAAGCCTCCCACACCTGCACCTTCTCACCACCTATATCTTGATATCACGACTTACGAACATGCCGGCATGCTCAGCAGGCCCTGACTTTCTCGGCACGCCTGTACTTGCGACCGCTTCACTTCGACCTCTTGCGCATTCCTGCGACACTGCACTGCAAGGATCTTTCTCGGCTTCGGCCATGGAGAAACCAGGGGCCTCTGTGCTTCGGCCAACATGTCTTTCGCGGCCTGCAACTGCGCCATTGTAGCAGCCTGAGCTCACTGGCCACTGGCCCCGTCTTAATTACTGCCCACGACAAGGGCGATGGACTAGGTTGACAAATGCTGCAACAGGAAACAGCCGGAGAACGAAAAGAGGAAGAACAAGGTGCTCTGGAGCTGTTAGAGACCCTCTGGCTTTGTGCACAAAAGTAACCACGACGCCAACGTGCAAGCACAGAGATGGTGTCTTCAAATGCAACAGCTATATATATATATACACATATATATATACATATATACACGCATGTATTTATATATGCATAAATATATACATATACAGGTACATAAACATATACATAGACCTACATGTGTATGTCAAGTGTATGTAGTCGTGTGTATATACTTGAATACATATACATATATATACACATACATTATATAGTTAAAGGAAGTATCCACACACGCATAAGTAGTGTACCTATACATAGCCCGATCACAAATTTGAGAAGGAATGGAAATTGCCTGAGAGGTGCCAGCACGTGACAAGGTGGGTTCAAGGCAACCGTCAGGCAACCGCCTCTGTACCTCGAAAGCGATTTGACCCGGAAATCTGGCTGTGTGTAAGTGCGGAGGAGTTCGCGTGACTTTGAGACTACCCCTCGTCCTGTGCGAAGTCAGTCCGCTGAGTCTTCTGAGCACCCTGGCCAGCTCCTGCTTGATGGTCGCTTGTGCATCCGCGCTGCTATCGTTGGATGCCTGATGGCACGGGAGCGTGGCACGGAAGTGAAGGCACAGGAGACATTGCCTGTTGCTGCTGCTTCAATGCTTCGCACTCTGCTATAGCCTGGCACTCCAGAGTTTGCACGGGACACCCGCTACGCGTCACGGGCCGTGGAACCTCTTGGAGCTTGGCCTGCCATTTACAATGCACTGCGCAGTGACATCTTCGCAACACCAGCCCATCCTCTGTTTGGGAGTGCTTTAGCTCCACATCCTGCGAGGTCCTTGCGAGTGGAAAGGTGAAACAAGAGCTGAACAAGGTGCGGCCGTCGGGGCGCATGTCAATGAACACATTCCCACACTCCTCTGAGCTTGGTCGAACTTGCCCTTCAGGATATCAAAATCCTTCTGCACCTACGGGAGAAACCGAACTTGCAAAGCGCCGTGCTGAATGTCTGCCAGGCTCTTCATCTCACTGAGAGAAGCACGCTCTCCAGCTTCTGCTGCTCTTGCTCAAGTCTGGCCTGGGATTTCGAAGTTACAGGCATGATTTCGGACCTTATGACGGTCATGACTGGACCTCTGCTTTCGATCGGAGCATTTCCTCATTGATTTTTACAGAATGGCCTGCACATGAAGGAAAGCTCGTCTAGTGCATGGGCAGTGGTTAGGGATCTAAGCTGGCCTCATGGTTTAAGCTGCAGGGTTTTTCGTCTGGGTTCCGGCAGTGGAGGGCTATGGTGAGGTTCCGGGATCCATTGACACCTCAACATAATCATAATCCACATCTAGAAACCCACCCTCTCACTCCTTCATCTCCTCAGAACCTCTGTCCTGTGGCTCTGATGCCGATCCTTTCTCACTTCAGCGCTTTTTCGCCAGCAAGCCGTTCTTCTGAGACCGACTTGGCATACAGACAAGCATATTATGACGACATGCGGTGCAAAGACAGGCTCTCCTGCGATACATGCGTACTACTGCTACTACTGCAGTCTACACTCTATCTTGCGACCTGCCCCGCAGGTCTTTCACTGAATTCTTTCGCGTTACAAAGTCGTCGTTGTTTCTTTCGGCCAGCACTGCTTTCTGAACTCGGCTTCATGCAAACCCGGTGTTGACATGTGGTGTATGCATGCCACAGGAAGAAAGTGCTTTCATGCCTGAGTGCGTGCTTGCTGGCTAGCTGCTAGCTCGCTTGCTTGCTTGCTTGCCTAGCTTGCTTGGCTTGCTTAGCTTGCTTAGCTTGCTTAGCTTGCTCAGCTTGCTTAGCTGCCTGCTTTGGTTGCTTGTTGAGGCAAACCCCGAAACCGATTAATACAATACAAAACCGCCCCGATTGAGAATACTAAAGTAATACCCCACCGACAATCCTCATCAACGTCAGAATGTTCGCAGGGTGCTATAGGCTTTCCGCCAGAAGATCAGAAAAATCTTAGCGCGGTGCACTTAAGAACTGTTCCAGCTGCTTCATACCCTGCTCAGAGCCGTCTTTGTTGGCCATGGCCTCTTCGGAGATGTGAGAAGCAGTCAACAGTTCCGTCCCTGCTATACCCATCGAATGCTCCGGCATGGCCTGCTGCTTCCAAGCATCGCATTCGCTAATTGCCTCAGTTCTCTTGCTCAGTGCAGAATCCTCGTGATTGCAATAACCTCATGGCCTGACGTTCAAGCCTGCTTGGCACCGGGCACTTTGAAGCCTCTGTTGCTCAGTCTCAAGCTGCACCTCCACCAAACAGATAGTTCGTGAGTGTGCAAAGGTATCACGACTTACGAACATGCCGGCATGCTTAGCAGGCCCTGACTTTCTCGGCACGCCTGTACTTGCGACCGCTTCACTTCGACCTCTTGCGCATTCCTGCGACGCTGTACTACAAGAATCTTTCTCGGCTTCGGCCATGGAGAAACCAGGGGCCTCTGTGCTTCGGCCACCATGTCTTTCGCAGCCTGCAGCTGCTCCGTTGTGGCGGCCTGAGCCCACTCGCCGTAATGCTCACAACCAGGGGGATGGAGCAGGTTGAAAAATGCTGCAAAAGGAGACAGCCGGAGAACCAAAGAGGAAGAACAAGGTGCTGAAGCAGAAGACATAGATTTTGGGGTCAGCTCTGGAGCTGTTAGAGACCCTGGCGTTGTGCAAAAGGAACCACGAGGTCAACATTGCGAGCACAGAGATGGTGTCTTCGAAATGCACACGCAATTTCTGTGTATATATATATGTATACATATATATATATATATATATATATCAGTTACTACGATCGCAGACGTTCGGTGCCCTCACTGAACAGACGATCGGCGATCGCACTTTTTTCATGCGACCGCAACGTGGGAGTCGGCCACAGTCGGATCATCAAAATTTCACTTGATCTTCACAAGTCCGATCGGACCCCCGATCGCCGAGGGGTGCGCCATGGCATTCACCACAGACCGCAACATCATCCGATCGGACACATCAGACAAGCGATATTCCCCGCGAACAAAATTAAAAGTCTTCGATCGGATCATCGGGCTCCGGCGACGGCTCCTCGATCGGATCGTCGTCGAGGGGGGCCGCGCCGAGCAAGTCGATCAACTGCCGCTCGGCAGCACGAAAAGCTGCATCAGGAGTAGCTTTGGCTTTCGTCCGAGCGGGAGTAGCGCGAGAAGCCTGGTACGCCGCGATCTGGGCGGGAGTCGGCGGCGCTTTGGTCGGCGGACTCGAGCTCCTCGTAGGCACCATGATCTGGGTGCCGGGAGGGAGCTGCGTACCGGGCGGGAGCTGATCCAGCCGCCGCGGGGGCTGCCCCGGAATGACATAGTGAGCCGGTCCGCTGATGCGAACGTCATCGGGCACGGCGTCGAGCGATCTGGGGGGCAGCCCTGGAACTAAATACTGAGCAGGCTCGGCGAACAAAGGAGAACGCCCTTTCGGAGCCGCTCGGCCTTGGCGCGGCAGACCAGCCTTGGGATCCACATAGTAGACCGGCTGATCCATGCCTCTGTTTCGAGCAGCTTTGGCCGGGGGCGCTTTGGGCACCGGCCGCTGAACAGAGGGCACGCCCATCACTTGATCCCAGCTGAGGGGAGGATCTGCCCCGTGATCGTAGCCGGCCGGCTGGTGACGATCGCGATCACGATGAGCCGGCGGCGTGACCCAGGGGGTCTTTCGGCAGAAATGACACATATCCAGGCGACGATCGCAAGCCGTGCACAAAGGAGTGCGCTGGTTGGGGGCCCACTCTTCGCGGGGGACCCGAACGGCTGCGTAACATTCGTCTTGGCCGTCCCCGTCGCAGAAGCAGCCGGTGAACAGGCCGCAATCCACGCAGGGACGGCAGAGCTGATCTGTGTCGCCGAAAGCGAGCGCTTGAAGGCCAACGTCGTTGCGAGGATCCCGCATACCGAAAAGAACAGATAGGGCGGAGAGGGTGGGATTTTTCGGTATGGCCCGATCGGCTATCGCCAAAATGGCCACGGAAAAGATAGATCAAGTCTGTTCCAACGATCGCGAAACTGATCTCCTAATTCCTACCCACCAGACCGATAATTAGGAGACCAGTTACTACGATCGCAGACGTTCGGTGCCCTCACTGAACAGACTATCGGCGATCGCACCTTTTTCATGCGACCGCAACGTGGGAGTCGGCCACAGTCGGATCATCAAAATTTCACTTGATCTTCACAAGTCCGATCGGACCCCCGATCGCCGAGGGGTGCGCCATGGCATTCACCACAGACCGCAACATCATCCGATCGGACACATCAGACAAGCGATATTCCCAGGCCCTCAAACTCCTTTCGGAAAGTCCGAGAGGACAGTGATCCAACCACACATCAGACCTGTAGCGACATCACCACGAGAGGGATTATCCGCCGGGTTCGAATCGGTCGGTACCCGATCGATATAAACAGAGCACCTAAGCTCCAGAACAAGCTCCCAGAAAATTCCTACGAGCTCGCAGACGTCCTCTTTTGCAGAGTAGCCTTTGATCAAAGCTGCCTCTACAGGCTCGGAATCGATAAAGAGGAGGACCAGCTTTCCACGGATCTCTTCCCTGAAAGTCTGTATCGCAGCGACCGCGGCTAAAAGTTCGATCATGCAAATTTGGGTTTTCCGGGGGAACCACCTCGACATGATCTGCCATGACACCCCCGAGGCGAATTGCCTAGGCTGATCGTCCCTAGTGAACATCACTCCTCCAATCATCTCAGAAGAGGGATCCTTGGGGTTCGAGCTCGGCGCCGATCCATCCGTGAAGATCACCACGTCGGACTTCCGCGGCCCCGAACTGGGGATAGGCCTCGGAGGCCCATGCATCACGAGCGTCCGCCACTTGTAGAGGGAGTAGAGGAGA